GGGCGACGCTAAGCGCAAGATGGTGGCGAGTGTCACAGAGCGCGATAGTGAGGCTGGGTCACAGGCCACGCAAATCGTCAGCGACTGGATTCAAACGTTTCAGTACCTAAGAGGTTTGTTTGAACTTGACCCGAGAATTCAAATGTGAAACTCGCGTCTGCTACTATGATCCTTGATTTTTTTTTTTCCTTTTTGAAAATTTGTTTGAGTCTTCGATAACATCTTAAATAAGTTCTGACCACAATAATGTTCGAGTCATCATTTTCTGAATATTTGTCAGATAAGCAACCTGAATTTTCAGAGCAGAACATTCTTAATTCAAAGACGACCGAAGAATGTTCGAATATTAAAAGAAAAAAAACTGCTACAGATAATTAGCCGAACTACAAAATACGAAGAAAACTTTAAGCCTGAATAAAGCAAATATTTGACTATTAATAATTTTCAATCGATAAAAATCACGGAATGGGTCAGGAAATGTTCGAAAAAAACGGATAAATGTAGGTATTGTACTACGTTCATTCGCTGTGATCAGCTTTAAAATTTTCAGATCCCCTTGCTGTCTTGAAAAAATTACTGACACGCGACTGTGAAATTAAGCTGGTCTTTTTTGTTCAAGTTTCAAAAGTTAATTGATTGCGGAAACGCGTATCAGTACCGGAAACTGCTCGTGGGTGGCAGTAATTATCATCGCGCTTGGCAGTCATTCTTTAATTGCGTCGTTCCGCACTCGATTTTAATAGTCGTGCTTAATGAGAGGAAAAAACATTCTTAATAACTTGATTACCCGGATAACAGAAAGTGAGCATGTGGTTGATACACGGTATGAGAATAGTGTTCCAAGAACAACCGTTTGCGAGGACTGAAAATAAAGCTATGAAAATGAAACTGGAAAAAAAAATTAAAATCTGAAAATTCTTAATATGAAAATAAAACTGAAAAAATAAAAATAATTAAACACTGAAAATGATAAGCAACCTATTTTCCATTTTTGATGTGATGAAATTTCACCGGAAATTTGGGTACTTTTTCATGTCTTCATACATCCAGCAAAAAATAATTCTGACTCGTTCTGGGAAATTTTAAAGGAGATTCATTCATTTTATACATCATTTCGATGAAAAAACCAGCCGTTTATAATTTACAACAGCGCTTTTCCTTCATAATTTCGCTGTAGATATGATGTGTCTGGAGAAATTTTATTTTTGAAGAATTTCACTTAATGGTCAGATGCTACTTTTTGTTTGCTAAGAAAAAAATTACTTTGGTCTTATGTAATGATGTCATATAGGATCTCATTCAAAGTAGCAGTAATATTTAAAAAACAGTAATATGTAAAAAAAAATGATGTTTGCAGGAAATTTGCAACGCAAAAATGTGTTGACCTTTGGGTTCCGCAGAACCCAAATTTACAAGGCAGCGTGAAAAGTATGCGAATTATTCCGAAAATACGAGTACCGTGCAGTATTATACTTTGCTTTCATGTTTGGACAACCTTCAATAACCCTTATTTTTCCTCCTTTCTGCCAAGGCTAATTCTGGTCATCCTTCAGCAAAACTCATTCGAATTTCATAACGTGAAAAATTTATACGGTACTGTATTTCTTGAAACGCGAAAAACGGGAACACTGTCTTCGCAGATATATTTAAAAGTCTGAGGAAATGCGGGGAAAAGTAGCAAAACTCTCGACGGAAGTTTATCTTATTGCTGATTGAATGACGTCGAAAATCAATCCAAAAATGCCTTCCAAAGTAAAATGTATTTTACGTCGAACTAGTCATGAAACAGTAGGGATTCATAGGAAGAAAGAAGGAAATTAAGTGTTCCCGACCTGAGAATCCGGGAACCCATTTGGGTGCGATGAGGGGTTCTCCGTTAAGTGTTTTTTTTTTCGGGGACTAACAATTTGCGCACTTAAAAAAATAATTTAGTTCAAAGCTGACTTCAGTAACTTTTTTCTTTGAGGACAATTTTTAAAAACCTTCATTTCCCTGATGATAGAATCGCTTTTAATCTCAATTCCTTTGCGCGCATAATTTTAATTCGCTTGGACAGCTTTGAAAGGTATATGAAAATTTCAGCGCGCCTGAAATTCCTCATTTCTAGATTTTAATTACTTATTTTATTCAATTTTGCTTCATGAAAATAGATTTCGCCTGAACTGTGAAGGCTTGATATTTTTGAAGGCTCTATCTTTCTGAGAAAATGGGTGCTCTACCTAAAATTATTTCATCTGTAAAATGTTTCAATAGTTAAAATCGTGGATCTTGGAATTTCCCCTCATGAAAGGAATGTATTACACTACTGTACTGAGGAAAATCGAGAGCTTTGGAATTTTTTTGTCAAGATTTAATCTTTATGCTCAAATTTCCAGCCGAAATTGACAGATGCATTTACGTTGGTAAAATGCGCGTACATTTTTCAATGTTTAATGTTCTTGGAGACGACGTAACTTTGAAAGCCATTTGCCATAATTGCTAAATTTAGAGAAAATTCTGTGAATCTCTGCTGTGTCAAGAGAATCGTTCCTGGGAAAAACCCTGTTCCATCCCCAATAGTAGCTTTAGTAGCAACCCCCGAACGGATCAATCCGCGCGGAAAACCCTTAGGGTCCCGGTGTCTGGGCCGTTTTTAGCCCGGAAATTGAACCCGGAGGGGCACCCCTCAAATAAACAGAGAAAAATTTGAAGTTTAATATAAATGGTACTTAACGTGTTATTTACCCAACACGAAATTAACTTGAATACAGTGAGACCTCGACATGAGGACAATTCGACAAAGGGACATTTATTTTTCAATAAAAATGGCATAAAAGGCCCGACATACAGACACTGACTTGACATGAGGACTTTGCAAGATAAAATTACCAATAATTGTCACAAAAATTGACTTTTATTCAGCTTAATTGCGAGAAACAGATGTTTCCAACCCTAAGATTTATGAATCCAGGGAACCAGAAAAATGCATCGTAGAGAGAATTTTGTTGAAGTGACCCTCTATAATAAGCCTATAGAGACCTATGATGGATTGCAAAAAATTGTTACGCAAAAAAATTCTTGTGGGAAAAATAATTGCAGGGAGTTTACCTGTGATAATTTTTCTTTGGGTGAGCAAGAGCTGTTGATGATGAATTATGAACTTCATGGTACACTTTTGTTTGTCACATGTTGATTATTGTATGAATACCTCATGCATCTTAGTACAGTATAGTACTGTAACTTCAATATTTTTTCCATTTATTTTTGTCTTGCCTTTCGATTGGCCGAAATTTATGAATATACTGTACTCATTTATGAAAATGTATGTAGATATTTATGAAAATGCAGAAGTTCTCATTTGGAGCACCAAATAAGAACGTCTGTCCAGTAACTCGTATCGTATTTTAATTGTATTGTCAATTGAGGAAAAAACTGCAAAAAAGAGCTTAAAGTGCAGAAAATATTGCGTAAAATTTCAAAACTAGCCTGCAAAGCGTTTTATTGTTAATGATGTGCTTGTTCTGGGTCGGAAATTTTCTCGGCATTTGGCAATACATCATTTCTTGAGCCGTTGAATGACATGAAAGAAGAATAAGGCAAGCAAAAATAATCCCTTGCTGCTGAAATGGCTGGAAATCGATGGCGGGTATTTTAGTGAAGTTTGTTCGATGTAGAAGCATTTCGGACATATATATTCCTTTAATGCGTTTATTTTAGGGTTGAGATGCTTCAAAAGCCTGTTTGTTGCTTTAGATTATAGAAAACACATGCAATATTTGCCGCTCACTTGATCCGTTGATCGAAAATACTGTAACTTCAAAGTGTTTTCGAATACAGGATGCCGTGTCTATATCTAGAGCATAAGTAGAACAATTTTGGCAAGATGTTTTTTTGATAACTTTTCAAGACGAAGATTTTGATTCTTTTGCACGAGAAAATTATGAGTTTTCCAGAAGGTTAATGTTACATAATCTGACGAAGTATCAAAACCTTTGAAAAAATGAACATTTTGAATATTGCTTATGCTGTAATGAATACTTCCCGAAAGCCACATAGATTTTTAATTGGCATCCGGATTTTTCATAAATAAAAAGACTTTTCTCTGGCCTTATATACTCGAGTACACTTACCTATATTTTTTTAACTATCTTGATTTTTACATTTAATTTATTGTTCCAACAAAGCCACTGGGATAAGAAAATGCTAATTCATTCTTTAAAAAAATTCGCTAAATATATAAACAAATAACATTCGAACTATTACATGCAGAGACAAAAAACTGGTGAGTACATACTTCATTACAGGTAGATGCGTTGTTACAATATTAAACTTAATAACCCTTATGCCTATCGAAAGATAGTTAACGAAGTTTCTCCCCCTGAAGTAGACAGCTTTTATTTTATAAATTTTCTCGCATGCAATTGAATTTATGGAGATGATTAAAGTTTCGTTTATATCATACTGTATATCGATTTTACTTGAAGTTGGGTCGTTTTATACTCCTTTTACATTGGCTTGATTTTTGCAACGAAATTTACGCCCGCAGTATACAGCATTGATTCTGAAAAGATGGATGTTTAGCTAGTAACCTATTCGCAAGAACCAAATGCTCAAACAAAAAAATGTGCACTCTTACTTTTTTCGCAGACACGACGTCTTTTGGTGCTCTGCGACCACAACAAAAACAGAGACTCGCACCGACCGCCTCACGACGAGAAGACGTAGCAGGAGCGTCGAGCAGAGCGTCAAAGGTCTCGGAGGAGACGGTTATCCCGTCGACGCGGCGACGACAGCCTCACTCTGGAACAGGCCCATTCATCCGGCAACCATAGCAGCAGCAAGCCTCTGAGCCCCACGAAACGGATAGCCACGTTGTGCGCATCCACGGGCTCCACCGCGTCGTCCGGCGTGGCGACCACCGCCCTCTGTCCCCCGCCGCCGTTTGCCGACTCGGAAACGGACGAAGAGGCGGCAGTGGCGTACCCGGCGATGATCGGAGCGGATTCCCTGGAGGTGGTGCGGTATACTCAGTTGATTGGGACGTTGAGGCGGCAGCAGAATTTGATGGGCGGCGAAGCCCAGCCGCCGCGGAGTTTCACAGCTATTCACGCAGCCGGGGGATTGGATGACTCGCATTTGTACAGCTAATCATGTCGAGTCTCTTTTGAAAAAGAGAGAGAGAGAGAGAGAAAAGCGAGAGAGAGAAAGATTAATTGGCTGATTGATTAGTTGATCAATCAAAAAGTGACCAGAGAAAAAAAAGGAGCTTCTGTATAACGGGGAGGGACAAGACTTATTGTGCAATGCAAAGGTTGATTGGGTTCCAAACAAGGCTTTAGAATTTTTTTTTTCAAACAATTTCTGTAATCAAATAAAGTAACTGAGTTTTCGAATATATATTAATATTTTTTGTTGGAATTTTGGGTAATGTTTTCTCCAGATCCACACATCGGAGTTCAGACATTATCTTTCAAAAATTACAATTTCTATTGAAAAGCGGAGTGAATTCAATTAAATTGTGCCAAAAATATTCGTCTTAACGCAAGATGCAAATGTTTTCAAAAGCTTCATGATTTCTATGTTGAAAAATACAAGCGACATTTAATTAAAACAATTCTACGCCTTTGCTATAAATTTTAGAGCATTCAAAGCTGTAGAAGTTTAAAATTTATTAGTTAAATTTCTAAAAACCGTCCTTAAAATTAATATTCACTGCATACGGCTCTTCAATTTTGGACCAAAGATATTCGAACAGATTAAGACTGAGTTTTCAAAATGAATTAATTACCGTTTTCCGAGACTTTAAATTTACATTTGGAACCCAATTAACCCTCGCAAAAGATGCAGTCACACAAAAAATAACATCTATGGGGAAAAGACAAATTTCAGGATCTAGTCAGTTAGGCGTTGCTTTGAATGGAAGCTTTCATGTTTCGACGAGGCAAGAAAATTGACGTGATTTTTTAAAAATTGTTCAATTTTCTTGATTTCGCGAAGCATACAATTAGATCAGTACCCTGAAACGGCTAATTGAAGGGAAAGAGCTTCACAATTCCAGTCACAACCACGAACACGACCAACTGAACAAAATTCTGCAAAGATGCAGCATAAAGAAGGACAATTTTGGGATGAAATCGTGGTTTGCCAGTTCGCTTGATAGGAAGGCTAATTTTTTGTGGAAATGGAGAAATTTTTTGTCGACGCGACGAACGTGTGTATTTTTGAAACTGTGATAATAATGTTCGCTTGCTTGCTGTAACTTTGCGGAAAACCTCGGCAATGCGAAGCGAAATCCCAAGATTCTGCAAGATTTGCCCCTGTTGCGAAAATTGAAAATTTTCATCTGTGGCAAATGTAGGAAGAATGTTTTTTTCTGGACGAATCACCCTGATTGATTGATTGATTGAAAATGTGGACAAAGGGTTGTTTAAGGGTTTTCCCTTAGGCGAGAATGTTCAGCCTGTGTGTGCAACTGCAAAAGTGTCGCAGCATGTTTTTTGTGTTGCAATAAAAATTATTTGAAAACTCACGATCGATTATTTCTTTCGAATGATAATATACTCCTTTCAGAAATGATTCAGGTTTCGCATTAAGACACAATCAAGCACAAATGAACAACATAAATATTTCAGCCCTACTTCTGAAATGTCGCTATTTTCATGGCAGTGACACCTATTTATTAATAAGATGAGGAAAGTTAAAAAAACGTTTTACAATCTTTTCGAGATATCGCTGTCCTGAGAATCAGAACAATGACACTTAGTTTGTTGAAGAACAGACAAAGGAAAAAAAATCTAGCTGCGATTGCGAAGTGTCGCTGCAAAAGAAACGATGGTTGCGGTGACACCTGTTAAAAAAATATGGGTATTCACAAAAACGTCTTAGAAAATGCTACAGATGTCACTCTTCAAAAGTGGGATTGTCGCCGTGACACTTCTTCATCAGAATAAATACATTATTAACGTTATTTGACAATGCTTCCAACGGGCACGTTAGAGTTTACCATAGGTGTCTAACTTTAAACCCGAAATACACTACTGTACCTTACTAGGTGAAACGCTCTCGACTCTATATAATAGCAGCTATCAAATTCATTCGCAAATAAAAGGCAACCTGTTTTACAACTGTTTTCAACGTAATGGATTCCTTGCAGTCATCTAAAGAACAAACCCAAAATTAAACTTAATATGATAGGGGCTTTTCACCATCGATGAAAGAACTGCCCTGAATAAGACAAAAGATTTCAAGGTTCTCCTGGATCAACATCCCTAAGAAAAAAACCGTTTCGCTGTGTATAAACACACTAAAAACAGACAACCGAGTGAGACTAAGAAAAATAGACAACAATAAATCCAGTGCTGTATACTGCAACTGGATTCATCGTTGATGCATTTAAAATACTACTTGGATGTCAATTTTTAGTATATATATACGTACATAGAAACGCTGTCATTTTTTCAGGTATGTTGATTCAGGGGAATTTTAGAATGTTGCGTCTAATTCAGGGTAGCGCTCGCATCGATGATTTAAAAGCGTGTATCATATGATAGTTTCTTCATGGGTTTTCTTTACATCTTAGATTTTTGGGAGCGTGCCTCACGTATTCGAGCGAAGTACTATATTCGATGTTTAAATTTGTACAACAAGTAAACGCTGTTCGAAACTGTCTTTATCTGCTTTGATTTGATGAAGCACGTGTCACTGTTATCCTATGAACAGGAAGCGACACCTCGGAAACATTGTCTCGATATAGTTATTGTCTGTCTACAGTCTAATTTTTGAAGATCGACACGTCGTGAACTATGCTGACGCAATTTTTTGCAGTTGCACGTAAAATATTACATTCCGAACAAGGGGCTCTGCTCAAACCTTTGAGTTTGGAGCGACACTTTTGAAAAGCTGCTCAGAATGTCAAACTTTGTCTCTAATTAAACAAACCGGTCTCACTAAAATAAATACATTTTCGAAGAGCGACAGCTAGATAAATTGTTCTAAAACATGCTCAAAATGTTTTTACATTCATTCAACAGGTGTCATTGCTATCATACGAGCGTCACCTCGTAAGTTAGTACTGTACTGTATAACTGATATATTTTCTCATTAAACAACAGGTGTCCTTTTTTCAATCCGCGAACCCTGAATCAAGTCTGAGAAGAGAATACAATTTTAAAGATAACTTGAAATTACTTTTTAAATAATTTTACGGCAGCCCAAAAAAACATGCGGTGAGTCCCCTGCGACAGATAGATGCCGTAAATTTAGCTGTACTTGAAAGGACATAAAAAATTAATTGTTGTGTTAAAAAGCTCATTAATATTATTCAATATCGAATTTGCCATTTGGTCTTTAAAAAAACACTAGAATTCCTTGCCTCGCAACATCGTGAATTGCTAAAAAAAAATAGTTCACACGATACCTTTTTCCATCCACAGCTTCCGGTGGAAACTCCTACTCGTCCATCCACGCCGAGACTCTCGTTTGTATATTCTTTCCCACGCTCACCGACATGTTGATCACGATTTCTACGTACGTTTTCGCACTGCATCGAGGAATTGAAGAAAAGTAAATGAATGAGAAAAAAAAATCGTAGACTTGAGTTGACGAATGAAAGACGGGAAACGAAGCGAATCTACGTCAGAGGAAAAGCGGGGTTATTGGAAATCAGGATCTCACTCACTTTGCGTTCAGTTGACGGATTTTCCTCATACAGCAGGTATTCTATCGCAGTTACCTGGAAAACGTAGAAAATATTCTTTCGGTCATCGATTTCTCTGGGAATCCAAGGATATTTTCTGCAGTGGGATTCGGAAATTCAGAGAATAACGGAGTATATAAACAAGACAATTTTCTCTACGTTATTTGTTATCCCAGCAAACATCGAAGACACGGTTTTCCTTGGCCAGTCCCAATTCAAAAAAAATTTTTAAAAATACTGTATATTCGAATTGTTCGTCTTTCACTTTGTCCTAGACCAACTTGGACAAAAATTAGAAAAAAGCCTGGATGACCAAGTGAAACAATATTTTTTGGAAAAGCAACTTTGGATCTTAAAAAGTGGTGTTTAGAGCCACATCTGGGCGTTGCATGCAAGGTAAGTCAATTCAGTTAGCATGAAGGTAAAAATAATTGAATACTGCAGATTTAAATTTGATGCCTTTACACCCCATAAAAATAAATCGCGGGTGGGCCAAGAATTCAAGAACCTATTGTATTTTTGAGCCACAATGAAGATGGGGTGACTGACAATTTAAAATTAGACTGAATGCCTGTTTTTTAATTTTTACTAATTTTGATACTGATTTTTCTCCATAGTTCGATGTCATTACTTATTCAAAGTTAAACTCAAGATAGCAAAAATTAGCCCAGAAACCCAACATATGCTGTGAAGTTTATTTCAAACCAAAGAATAAGTTCAACATGACAGCTGAATTTTTTTTTTTACCTATTATAAAGAGTCTTTTAACAGGATTATTAATGAATCTTAAAACTCAAAAGAGCCTTAATTTACAGTCCTCTTTTCGCATGACACTTAATTGAAAGTGGCAGGTTCTATTATATTCTGCAGCAGATCCAGGATTTTTTTAAAACAAATTTTGTCCAATCAACCTCAACATGGGCTGAGTTGCTGAAGTACAGTACAAAATATTCGGATAAAACCCATCCTTATAGTGTTCAGAAAATTTCGAATATCCCACCATGGAAAGAATGCATTAGAAACCAGCATCTATTAAAAACAAATCTTTTTTCCAGCAAAAATTTCCTTCGCCATAAATGCATGGATACCAAGAAGGGGCATGTCAGCCCCACACTTAAGATTATGTTCATCAGTTTAAAATTGTATTTATAATTTATCATATTTTTTCCAAATTTTGGGGACTAAAATTTGCTCATGAATCCTGGCTCCACTGCAAATGGCAATAATAACTACAGTATTTATTCTCTCTACAAAAATATGGTGTAAACAGATTTCCTTGTACAGCGAATTCTTTTGTCCGAAGAGGTTATCTATAGCTATCTTATAGGAGTTTCTCTACGACAATCTTTTTTAAGGTGCCTTGAATTTCACAATCAAAGCACCCGATCCCCTTTGTCCCCAGAAAATAGCAAAAAATGCCTAAAGAAATTTGTAGTATACTTTACTAAAGAGGGTTGACTTGACGGGGAAATGTTCAAGCTCTGGAAATGTCAATTACGAAATTCAAGGCATAAAAAATTCGTTGTACTGAGGATTTCATCGTAAAGACTCTCCACCTGAAGACTATCGAAGAACGTTACAAATCTACACCAAAATATTGCTGTAGTTATCAAATCTCACGAAACACTCAAAACCCACACTGCACCACAATCCAAAGCTTTCACTCACTTCAACTACTCAAAAAAAAAGCCCATTGAAAGTTAAGAAAAAAAATTTGACTCGCGTTATATAAAGACAGACGATTCGCAAAATTACGGCTCGTTAAACAAGGAGGACCGATTCGCGGATGTCTCAAGGGATGACTGATTCGACCTTGGACGAAGAACAGGGTTCACGACAACCTTCACAAGTAGTTACAACAACGTCTACTTCCGGTGAGAATAACGGGTTATCCGGTGTTCATCAGCAGCAATCGTCGGTGACTCCGGAAACAGGAAATCCTGAACTGGTTTCTCCTTGGCTGATCGTCACTACCTTGGTGGTGTTCTTTGGATTCTGCATCCCTGCTGGGTATCATTTGACAGCACTCAACAACCCTGCAGCTGTACGTTTTCTTCTTGTTGATGATTGCTCCGGTGAAATTTTGGCGTGTTAATTTTAATGCACGTGGACTCGCTCTAGAACAAAAATTCGAAGGACCAAGCAGAAGAAAATTCGTTGTCGGGAGAATTTTCATTGTAGAGATCCCCTAGGCCTAGGACGTGAAGAGAAAACCCTAAGGGACCAATACATTTTTTTTATACAGAAAATTTCCTGGTAGATCACCTCCATAACTTTTATAGGGGTTCCAGGCATTTTTTGCAAAATGTCCAAATCACCAATGAATGAATAAATGTAATTCGGGTTGGTGATCGTCAAAAAAAGAACAGCTGGACCTGGTTCAGTCAAATACTTTGGCATGAAAAATTATTGTGTAGTCCCTGACCCTGTCTAAATTCTGGCAAGACTAAATGATTGACATTTCCTCAGCTTGAATTCTTCTCCCTCAACCCTCTACCAAAAGCTCGACTTACAGGAATGAAATATAATATTAAAAAAAACGCAAACTAATTTACAACGGGAGTTAGAGTACTATGAAACGGGATAAACGCCAGCAATTTTCTTCAAACTTTCAGATCAACCTTGCACAAATCAAGTCTGTTAGACAGGGGTTGACTGTACTGTGATGATAAAATGTAACAAATCTGTTCAACAGAAAGTGGGTAATTAATTTTTTGGTACTTTCCTGTTATATCTGTACCTTCCCTCTGACCAATTTAACCTGACCTAACCTAACTTCCCCTAAACGCCTCCCAAAATCAGATTCTGCTTTCTTTGGGTTTCTGCTGAAACTGATTTTGGGAGGCGGTTAGGTATAGTTAGGTTAGTTCAGGTTATGTAAGTTAAAAAATATTTGTAACTAACATAACCTGAACTAACCTAACTTTACCTAACTGCCTTCCAAAATCAGTTTCAGCAGAATGCGGAAAAATAAAATTCACAGTTTCTGGTAGGTCATTGTGATCATGAACTTTTCCTAAAGGTGGTGCGTCTAGGAATGATGTACAGAGATAAAAGGAAATTCCTCTAGCCTTGAAGTTCAATATCCTGTCAACTCACATGCATCCAGCAGTTTAAAGCCCAAAATATTGGTAACGTTACCTCCTAGCTGTAATTACTCCAACAAATTTTCCAAGAGAAAACACTAGTTTCTCTAACTTGAAAATTCTCTGAATTGAAATGTTGATTTTTTTAGCTCCTGGTGCAACTCGTATAGGTTAAATTTTATACAATTTAGAATAATTTTTTCTGCAATTGAGAAATGTTTTCCAAATTTTTATTGGTGGACATTTGTCCTAATTCTCTGCACAGAAAAAAAAACGGGCAGATCAATGTTATGAATGGCATATGGCACCCTGTTAAAGTTTAGACTTCATTTAAACTTTGGATGAAGCTTCATTCTTTCTTCAAATGAAATGTACTCCATTGAGTGAATGTGAAGGAATGAATGAACAGAACACTTTATTTGCCGTTTTCAGCATTCACAAGATTCAATCAACATTTCCACATCCAAACCCCCTTCCCACACAATCCAAATCCACTCAAAGACATTTAATCACTTCAGAGCCGGAAACAGAGCACAAATTGATAACAAAATCAAAGAAAAGACAACCTTGTCATGAATGTTTTTTTTTTTAACTGCAGGTGATCAAGAATCATTTGAATACATCGGCAAGAAGTCAGTACTACCTGAGTCAAAATTCGATTCTCTTTGAACGAAATATCCTCTGGTCTGGTGTTGTGTCAATTTACGTCATCGGAGCCACTATCGGAGCAATTTGCTCCAGTCACTTGGCGGAAAAAACCGGAAGGTTTGCTAAATTTTCTCACGCCTGAAATGAAATCAGCTTTTTAGCTTAAAAAAAAATATATATATATATATTCAAATCCCGAAATGTTTCCCATTCTTTCAGTAAAGGAGCTTTGGTCACCGATTTCATTCTAGCTGCTCTTGGTACACTTTGTATAGCAGCAACCAAACCTGCGAAAAAGCTGGAATTGCTTTTCTTGGGACGGCTGCTGCTGGGTCTTGCTTGTGGCAGGTTTTTGAACAACTTTGCTTCCATGTGATTTTATCAGGAAATCATCACATAAATAAAGCAGAACTGAAAATCCAAATGTACAGTCTTTAAAATACAGTGCATTGCAAAGTTGTACAGTTTCACATGAAATTCTGTTTGCATCAAAAACTTTTGGAAAAAGCTTATTCATTCTTTCTTAAAATGAGCTGTAGCATATGGTTTGAAGAATACTGGGTTTTTCAAGAAAAATGTTTATGAAGTTTGCCAAGGTTATAAAACAATTCATTTATTTATATTCCAGTGAGAGCAGAAAATTTGAAGGAATTTTGAAAGAGAAAAGGTCCTATATATAGCTGGGCAGGATATTTTACAAATTGCTGCATTTTATTTTGTCAAACTGCATTGTAAATGCATTAATATTTGGATACAAATATTTGTATAGTAGTATTTGTGATACAAATTTTGGATTTTGGAAATTCATATCTCCAGGTACCGGTGGTGAGTGCATCAATTGTTGGCATTTCTCTGTAAAAAAAAATTGTAATGAAGATTTTTCCAGGTCCAAGTGGCTTCACTATGTATAGTACAGTTCCAATATTTTATCCTGATCAAACATTTTTTGGAAGCATTTCAAAGCAATTGGGTATTGCAGTAATCTTCCACAAGATTGAAGCTTAACTATTTAAAAACTATATGAGTCTACATAAAATTAATGCTAAGTTACAACCATTTTTTAGGCCACTATTATTATTTTCTCAACTGAGATATTAGTATATTCATGCACAGGAACAACATGTGGAGTGGCAACCCATTACTTGAGGGATATCAGCCCTGCTTCAAAAAAGTCCCTGATTGGAATCACACCCAGCTTGGGGATTGCCTCAGGGATGTTTTTTGCCCAAACTCTCAGTTTGAGTGCGGTTCTTGGTAATAACATTGAACTGAAATTATATGGCACCAGCATAAACAGCTGAGAAGTGTTGTTTTGAAAATTCAACTTTTCTTTTTTGTTGTTGCACAGGTACTGATGAACATTGGCCATTGATGCTATGCCTTCCAATGGCTCTGAAAATACCAGCTGTAATCATCCTGCTTTTTTGTCCAGAGAGACCCAGTCATCTTTACATTCATCGAAGGCCAAATGAAGGATTCCATGGTTGGTTTTTTTGGGCATAATATTCACCAAGCAAGGATAAAATGTTGCATTTTTATAAATTTACCATGTAAGTGAATAAATTTTTAATAGGATCCTATACTCATTAGATATCACTGAACATTGTTTACCACTTACCAAAAACAAATTGATCCAGAGAGATTTGAATTGAAGCGGGCATAAGGGGATTGATCTGGGATTAGCTTGAAATTTGAACTGGGGAGATTTTCACAGGGAGATTTCTCATGGTTATGTACAACTCCATTTAAAGAACTCTAAAATGTCATATTAAAGATTATGACTGTAAATTAAATTTGGGCGCATTTCCCATTCAATTTAACCTGAAAATGGGTGCCAATAAGAATACCATCAACCACTGCACAATGAACTTAATTTGTGCTACAGACTAGTATGTTGTGTGGAAAGTCTGCCATGCAAATTCAGTTATGAAAAATTAATATTTTTACTTTTTACCATCAATTTTAAACCAACAGAAGTCTGTTTTATTTGGATTTATTCCATTGCGCACGAGGGAAAACCGCCTCCATACAGAAGCAGTCTGTTGTGCAGGAGGTCTGTTGTGCGGATGAGGTCAACTGTATACATTTTCAATTTATTTAAAAGGAAGTATAGAGCATGAGACCACTTCAGAGAATTTCCAAAAAATTTGAAAAGGCTGGTTTTCCATCTTCAGCACATTTCAGGAAGTAGAACCATTGTTGATCAGCCTTTGAAATCTGACTTTGACTTAAAAGCTTTACAGATGCTCAGGGTTGGTTGGAAGCCAGAAGACATTGCCAAAGAGGCAGAGGCGATAAAAACTGGGATTACCTTAGCAGGGTCACAACCATATTACAGCCTCATGGATTTGATTAGAAAGAAAGAATTCCATTCAGCTCTGAGAAACGTTCTCATATTGAACATTGGGCAGCAATTCACAGGGACAAAAGCGGTGAGTGCTGCACCAAATTTTGGGAATAACATTTCTCTTATTTTCCCAAAAACAAATGTTATTATTTTTCCAGGTATTTTTCTATTCCACTGAGATTTTCCAGCATGCTGGGATACACAGGGACGAGAGCCAGTTTGCAACAATTGGAGTAATGCTTGTGAATGCCTTGTCCTTGGGGTTTTCAATGCCAGTCACTGCAAATATGCCCAGAAGACTTTCCTTGATGGGGTCTCTGTCAGGGACGTCGATTTCAATGACTGTTTTGGCTCTGAGTTTGGCTTTTCTTGTGAGTACCCGGAATTCAGGACAATCCTATACTGTACTAGCAAAAATGAACACATTTTTTTATAAAAATAAAAATTAATCTGCACGGGCATTCAAACCCCGCATCCGGTGGTAATTTGTCTTTAAATGATATTTCATTAATCGAACTTTAAAAAAGAAGAATCACTGAACGTCAGATATGGCGACGAGAGGAAGGAAAATACGTAACTTCCAAGATTTAAAGAGCTATAGTTCGTTAAAAAAATTCATATTTTTACCAGCATGCAAGACCGACGTTGATTTATTGATCAATTATTAATAATATTTCTTATTTTTTTGCAGGGAAAAGTCAATTTCCTGACGTACACAGCAATTGGAGCGACGTTTGCATTTATTATTTCCATGCAATTCGGTCTTGGTGTTGTTCCATATTTATTTCCAACAGGTATTGGTTTTTTAATTAGCGATAATGACGTATTGCATTTGAATAATCATGTGTACCGAGTAACCGACTTATTCAGAAATTAAGGATGACTAGGTTTTGCCTACGAAATATAAAATCAATTCCAATTTTTCGGAAAATGTCTCAAGTGATCTGAAAGTTTGAAGAAAATTGCTGGCGTTTATCCCGTTTCATAGTACTCTAACTCCCGTTGTAAATTAGTTTGCGTTTTTTTTAATATTATATTTCATTCCTGTAAGTCGAGCTTTTGGTAGAAAATGGAGTGTCTTCCATTTTTTAAGACTACGGCGAGATTCAGAAGCTCAAGCATTTGTTTTTCTTTTCCTGAAATTTTGGAAAATAAAATTTTCAAATCCTCCAATTTTGATTCAAATTTATATTTTTCCTGACTTTTTCCAGTATTTTGCATATTACCATATTTACTTGAGTACCACCTGCACATTTTTTTCTCAAATTTCAGAAGAAAAAAAGGGGTGTGTGTCATAACCGGGTACAAATTTTGGAAGAATTTTTAGAAAGTTCTATGTGCATTATACTTGATCATAATGGAGAAATTTGGAAAAAAGTGATGAGAAAACTCTTTTGTACTGAAAAAGTTGAAAATTGGTCAGATTTTTGTTAAATTCATGTCTAAAGTCAAACTTTTTGTTTCTATTTTTGAATTTTTGTGGTTTTAGATTTAAAAAAAATTGGGGTGCAAGTCATACTCGGGGATAAGATTTTAGCCAAATTTCCAACTGAAAAAACCCTGTGCGCATTTTACTCAAGGGTGCGTGAGTAAATATGGTAGAACGGAAAAGTAAAAAAAGATTTTTCATTCTGAACATTCAGCACACAAGTTTCAGACTTTTTCAGTAAGTTTTTGTCATTTTTGTTGAAAAAACGTCTATTCACTCTCATAAACCCCGGTTCATTTTACATAGCAATCGCAGTTCTAATTTCTGAAGGCATAAACCCAACTCAATAGAGACATTAGGTTGTGGGAATCTTGATTGAGCCTTGTGAACGTGGCAAATAAAGTGTTCTGTTCATTTGTTCATTCATAGAGACATTATAGAGCATTCGGAGTCCTCAACTCCTCATATACAGTATATAGGTATATACCAGTATATATAGCAATTTAAATTAATTTTTCTCTTTAATCCAAATTTTTAGCATCAAACCAATAAATGAAAACATGAAACGGTAACAATTAAAAAGAAAGTGGATTGTATTTTTGTTTCAGTTTAACTCTGGATATGTTTTAACGTCTGCTTGTGGGAGGAACAACCAGTAGGATCCTACAGGGGTCTGGGGGGGGGGGAATAATAAGGACATTGTGTAACATGTGTCTATGGCCTGTTTGTTTACTGTTTGTTTATTAGATGAAAAAAAAACGCATCCAGTACATTAAGTTGTCAGGATGGCCTAGTGGTCTAAGGCGCCGTGTTCAGGTTACAGTCTGGTTCTGCAGGCGTGGGTTTGAATCCCACTTCTGCAATCATTTTTTCATTTTTTGTTGTTGTTTTTTTGTCCATACTGCGGATGCTCTACTACTTGATTAATTATTTAATGTTTCATGTATCTCTGATACACGGTTAAAAATCGATCAACCCTGCGCAAAAAATAAGAAAAAAACTAGAAAATATGATTCATTCGGATTAATTTTTTTCTCTCTTGAATATTATTTTAAAGAAACATCAGTCCCAGCAGCGAGGAAATCTTTGCTTGCTGTGGGTTCCTGTGCGGGTTGGCTGTCTTCATTCCTGGTTGGACTCATGTTTCCAGTTGTGGAGTCGTATGTCGGACCATCGTATTCATGTCTCTTTTTTGTCATAACAAGCATGTTGTTGGGGCTGTATGTCTTTTTTGTCCTTCCGGAAACTAATCCGAGAACAGTTACCAATAAAAACCTTTGATCGCCGCGGATATATATGCGCTCACCGCCCCTAAAGTGTATCACAGAGGTCTGAAAGATTTATATTTTTTGCTCATAACCCCGAATTTGTGGTGACATTTCATCAAGTTTGACGGTCTTTGGTCCCTGATTTTGTTGCCGTGAAATTGAATTTTATATTGCGTGATAACAAGGCCAAGTTGATGGTTAGTAAAAAAAAAAAATGTACGAGTTGGTTATATACCCCGTTTGATCTATGTTATTTTTGTTGCCCTGATTTTTGAGAAATGATTAACCGTGGGGAAATCGAAAGTGTGAGAACAGTGGATTTCATTACATGTTTCAGAAGCTATGAAGTTCAGTCATGATGGTTTTGGTGCTGCTATATTATGTGGACTAACTACCTTTGTGCAACTGGCTGTAAATTCGACATTCCAAAGCATTGTCACAAAGCTATGAAAATCGTGATCATAAACCTCTTCATGTCAAACTCAGAAGGACTCACACACAAATTTGACTCAGAGGTTTTGAGTTATTAAAAAAACCAATATTTTTGCAGAAAAAAAAATTGGAAAAATTATTGGAAAGTAACATTGGTGATATTTTAAGCCTTAAACTGTCGAATAAATGATTTGGCAATACGATGAACTTATTTAAGTCTCGGGCATTCTTTTTCAATTTAGTCATTCACTTTCATTTGAGAAGCTGCAAGATATATTTTCATTCCTCTTCTTTTTCCTGGATCCCCTTAAAAAAGCCAATGTTTGAGTTTGAATTTGCAAGATCCATCAGTACTTGCTAAATTAAAACATATATAGGAAGGATAATTTTCCTTTTATTTCTCTGACGACTAGGGCGCATTTTATTCTCTGCCATGGGTCCCTGAGAACTCAATGACAAAAAATTGGTTTTAATGAAATAATAGTTTATGCACAATGAGATGTTTGTGGCCTCAGGTTTGAACCTCACAAACTATTTGCTTTCTTCTGTTTCAAAAATGAACAAGTCACAGAACACAAGATCTTGATGATCACTGTCTTGAGGTTAGAACAGACAGGGTCTGTTCTTCTTGATCAGCTTTGGGCCCATTCTTGTGGAAGGTTTCCAGAAGGTTGACGAGGAAGAGTGATTTAGCTGGGATTCCACCAGTGTTTGTAATTCTGAGTAAATCCTTTAATAAGATTGATTCAGGTTCTGTTCGAAGCTTGTGGAATATTTCATGAATATTTGATCTTAACGAATATTTTGTTTGATAGCTTGAATGTTATGTAATGTTTATTTTGTGTTCTTTTTTATGTAATACATGGTGTGTGTTGTGAGTGACATCTAGTTGACTTGCAGCACATGGCTAATGTCTTGGGCTACATCTAGTCAACCCACATCATTCTCCACATATATGGTATAGTATATAAGGATTTTTCTTTTTGAATTCCATGCAATCAATGAAAATCAGGTTTTAGAAGGTTGAAAGAACTGCAAAAATGTATGACTGTAGTACATGCTTGTACTGTACCCTCTGGAAATGTAGCCTGACAAGGGCTTTAAAACTGTTGTAATGGTAAAACTGATAATCCACTGGCACTGATGTCATGAACAATAAGTGGAAGATAGCTTATTTGTCTTACTCACAGGACAAATTAATAAAAATATAATTTGAAAACAAAAGGCACGTTTTATATTAATGTGATGGAAACTAATAAAAGTCCAACAAAGTCCTTATATAGAGCAACATGAAGACTCATGCGATACACGGAACGTTCGAGAAGGTTACGGGGTCAGCCGCATTATGGGACAGCACCCGCAATTCTCAACTGGTGATTGATGTGAAACTTGGCTAAGAAATGCATGGAATTTTCTACAACGCTTCTCAACTTTTGGCTTTGCTTCGCTCGAAAGACGTTCATTCCTTCTCTGGTTTTCCAAGAACATCCTCGCAGTTCTTTCACACTCAAAAAAAAAAAAAAATGTTCCGAAGAAAATTTACCACGCGAAGCCTGTCAATCAGCTCCTTTTCCTGGTCGTCCGAGACGATCGTCCGGAATTTGCAAGAAGCTCTATCCAGCTTCATATTGGCGCGGAAATTGCAATGCATAGATGCTCATTCTTCTCTGCCAATTGGCATAAAAATCAGCAAAGAATCGGATGCAGTCGAAGATTTTAGCGGAAGTGAAATTTTCCCTGGGACTCCGAGGAAGATTCCAGCAGACAATTATGAAGGATTCCGAAGTGGTTTCCGGACAAGACTGTGTTCTTGTTTGATCATGTTCTATTTGTTTCTGATTTGCGGAACTCAGGTATTGTACAAGAAATGTCGTTATAAGAAGACTTTTTCTTTTTTGCTTGCAAATTTGCATAATAATATTTTTTTCCTGTCTGAAAAGGGCATTTCAGTCTGGATGATGTTTCGAGACTCGAAGAACCCAAACTCACCGTATTACAACGCAGCAAAACGCAACTTGAAACTCATAGATCGCGAAATGGCCATTTGTCTGGTCGGGATTTCGCCAATGTACCACGCCCTGGTGTTCACATTCATTCAATTTTGGAACCGAAAACAGTGCTGGGATTTGAAGCGAACCTGGGTACAAACGATTCGCTGGACTGGATTGGACCCCCTTGGAGGCAAAGTATTCAAAAACCGGTGCCACGTTTTGGGACTGTACGGAAAAATTTTCAATGCTGCTATCACTTCAATCGCATTTTTGTTCGGATTCCTATCAGGTAATTTACCGCCTGATGTATTTGCAAAATTGATTTTTTCATATTTTTATTTGTGAAATTATCTTGCATAAAATTTAAAATCTGACTTCAGTTTTTGGAATACGAGGCAGGTGTCGCTATGAAAAATTATTCTGAAAATCATAAATTTTGAAATTTTCAAGTATATTGAATTCTTTTCCTTTTTAGCAAAAGAAAGATCGAAATCTTTGGCGTACACATGCATTGAAAATGTACTTATTCATGCATCAATTAGCGCAGGAGTATCTAATACTGTATTATATTGCAGTGATATTCATAGAAGCGACATCTATCCTACAATGCATCGCCGAACTATAAGTATTCACTCACTCATGGGATATTTAGTGAATCTGGTTTTATTCCCAAGGAACAGAAATACTTTTCCTGTAGATAAGAAAAATCATTGGTTCATTACGGCAATATTCAATCATGAAAAAATTATTCCTACATTTTGAAAAATATAGAAATTTGATTTATGCTCTGTATTTTTTTTTTCAGGATTTGGATTAGTCAACACGACTTACAGGGCAGGAAACGCACTGTTGTGCAGTTACTGGTACTTTTTGATTGAATTTCCGGATACGCACGTTCTGGCCCCACTGTTGAGGATATTCCTCGGATTTAACGTAGGATTAACCTATTTAATATACAAACAAATAATAGTGGAGTACATGATGAATGCCTTGATGGCTTCTAAAATGCTGGAGATGTGGACTTCGAACTTGGCGCGTCTTTTGGGGCATCATTTGAATGATGGAGAAGCGAAGACTTCTTTGATGAAAAAGTTTCCCGCTGTTGGAAAAATTCTGGGTGAATGATCCGCGAATTTTTAAAAATTAATTGAAAACAATTAATGGGGAATTCTTGCATGACTGGTTATAGAAATGGAGAGATTTCCGCCTTACAAAGGACCAGGAAATGGAGAAATGAGTTTCCCGGACTTGGTGATCTCTTACCGAATTTTGGTCAGCATTTTGCGGAAAATCGACGCTGCATTTTCCGTCACGGTGTTTCTTTACTTTTTGTCAATGGTGAGTTGAAAAAATTTACTCGATATCCGATTCCATTTTCTGAATTTGGGAGAATCAATCCCCTTTTTTCGAAAATGTATCAGAACAGAAACACTTAATCCAACTTCAATCAGAAAAAAAAGAGTTTTCACACAATGCAGATAAGCGTTCTTCAATTTTGATGTAATTTCAATTTTCTAGTGAATTTCGGCAGTTGCTAATTCACCAATAACCAATAACTTACGGAAAGGTATTTGATTTTTGGAAAAGATTTATATGTAAATTTAGGGGCCTGCGATTTTATGTGATTTCAGGTGATGACAATTTGTTTTGAGCTCTACTCCGGGGTGGACAAAGGATTTGACGCCTGGGAAGAATTCGCCTTCGGGGCAGGTTTAGTGGGACAAACAGCATTCCTGTTCTACATCGTTGTTTACATGGCCAGCAAAATTCCAGGACAGGTTAAAAAAAAAATTAATTAGCCATAAACTGAGTAATTCTTGTTGATTTCTGAAAGCCAGAACTTTTGAACAGGCGAAATGCAGTTTGGAATGCATCCGCGGCGGAGGCTTGATCTTGGCGCGTCGTGAACAGATGTCGCCCCGTGACATGCGATGCGTGAGCAATGAATCATTCGTCGAATCATTTCGACGAGGTAATAGATCGTTTATTTCGACAGATTGACCTCCTCATGTCGGCAATGGCAAACCAACCTATGGCTTTAACTTGCATGCAGTTCTTCTATGTGGACAAGAACTTGATAGTCCAGGTTTTCACAGCAGTCGTCACGTATTTTGTGATCCTGCTTCAATTCAAGCCACCCGAGAACTTGGACACGGATGCTATTGACGGCGTAGTCGCGACATCTACATTTTCTCCTTGAGATGTGCATAATCAGATGGATTTCCATTACCTAAAATGTATAGGCGTTATTCCTATGTGAAATTACATATAGGCAATTCTGGAAATAAATCAAATATCGCACATTTCAAACAAAAAACGAGGTCGCAAATTTTATTACCCGTTTTCAGAACAAATAAATCGTCACTTGAATATATGTAATCATGCTCACTTCGAGACAAAATCAATAAACTTTGGAACCGTTTGCTGTCAAATAAATAATATCACACCGCGGACGAAGAAAACGTCATTTTTCTTCTGTCCAAGGTTTTTGAGGTAACCGATGTTTCGCTTAATTTGAGCATGCAAAATTTTGTTTTGAGCAACGGTGTCAATTTTTCTGGAATCATACACATCCCTCTGTTCCGAGACTGAGAATGACTTTTGAATTTCTCCCTGGCTGTCCTCCGATCAAGTCCTGACTGCACCAGAATTTCCTAGAATATTTGGAACGCAATTTATTGATGTAAAACAATGTCCATCACCTGCTTCAAAACACTGACTTGTTCGTTGTCAAATCGCTGTCAACATCGTCGAAAGTCATCTGCGTAATCGCCAATTCTTCTCCAAAAGACCCGTAAGATTCGGAAAAGACCAAATGGAACTTGAAGTTTGTCAAGGCATCTGTTCCTCGAATTGTTGAATAAGAAATCACTGCTCCGATGTCTGAATTTGTCCCCAAGTAAGCTGGCCTATTAAGTAAAATAATTCAACAGTTCAAATAATTCTTCACGTTTCCACAATTCGATTTTCCATACGAAATACTATTTTCGTAATTTTAATCATTATTTAAAACATTTAATTTTACTACAGCAAATTTAAATATTGAAGCATTAAAAAATTCAAGTAAACTCATCGATCTAAAAAAAAAAACCCACGCAACTCAGGAATGCTAATAACAATTAGGAAAAATTATAACGAATTTCTTCTTTTCTTCCCAGCAGAATGAAAATATCAAATGACATTTTGAAACCCGAGGATATGAGTTTAGGCTGCTGTCCCAAAAAACTGGACGATATATTTTTTGTTTCAAAATTCAACCCAATATTTTAAATCTGCCGGAAATGAGAAAATAAAATCGTATTATTTCTAACGAATAAATAGCAGAAGTGTTGACGAAAAATTGTTTCGCCTTTATGCAAAATAGACAATCACAGTCCTACTTTGTGATTGATTGGATTTCAAGTTGAAAAGTTGAGTAATAATGTCATTTCTTTCCGGGGAAACACGAGGGATTTACTTTTTAATATATTTTTGGCGGTGAACATTATATATTCTGCGATCCAACAAATTCACGCGAAAAATCACGACCGAATGGAAAAGAAAATTTGAGTCGCGCAACTGAAATAAATGAATATTCGATCAATGCTTTCTCGTTGTGAATCGAAATCATATCGCTGGCATAATTCAGTCAGTAAATTCAAAAAGCTCACTTGGAATTCAGCCGAAAGGTGACACCTTCAATATAGTTTCCGAGTCCATCCTCGAGCACGAGGTAAAGGTTTCCTCGCAACACATTGGTCATCGAAGCCCGACCTTGTCGCTGATTCGACCCATCAGCAGAAACATCAATCGTATTATTGTTTTCCAGTATTGATCTTTTGGATATTTGATTAGTGAGCAAAGCATTGAGCCGGTTTCTTTGCACGACTTGGCGCAGTGCTTGCATTGTATTTCGCAGGGTGAGACTGCCAAATTTTAGCGTCACGTAATACTGGAACTCTGTAAGATGCATAATAAATACATGATTTTGCAACTCTTAATCCAGCAAACATGTCTTCAGGTATTTAGAAAAATTATATTTTGAGCCAATCACATGGAATTTGACTAATTTTTCGATCTTCACGAAGTCTTTCGCGGATTTGTCCACGAAAGAAATATTTTTCCTGGTTTTTCACGGTCGTAAGTCATACATAACCTCATCCATTCTTAAATGTCTGGCAGATGTCGCCTGAATCGCGAACGTGATGAAAACAAACCATTGAAAAAAGCCTAAGGTAACATTTCCCTCAACATTTGCCAAGGAAAATGATCTTTAAATCGTAACCCTTGATTCGGAAGGATTCTTCGCGGGTTTCTCGGTGAAAATCATTGCATACATCTTCTATATAGAAATGTCAGTTAGATTTAATCTGCGTTAATTAAAAATTGCTCCAGAGAAAATCCATGGCATGAATTGCCTCGAAAAATTCAAGTTTCCGCGCTAATAAAATACGAATTTGACGAAGCAAGTGGCTCCATCTTCTCTCAAACTCACGGGCTATTGGCCATGATTCAATCCTCAAGTTCTTTTAAAATTTCGCCATTACAAAATAAATCGGATATTCATCGATTTTCTAACAAAATTCGGCACTCAACTGCAAAAGGGTTCCGCGTTCCCGGTCCTCAAGAAAAAGGATCGAATCGGAGGCGTGGGTCCGGCATCCACGGCAGAATAAAACCCCATTCTTGCGCAATTTGAAGCAGTCAATGCAGTTGTGCCAGCTGGGCAATTTATCGCACACTTGGCTGTCACAAAATCCGTCCAAGAACTGCAAGACACTGCTCTGAATTCGCAATTTGCACTGTCCGGGGCAGACGCATAAGTCAGGGACTCGGTGAAAAACTGAGGCGCCCGGAAATGCGAGCACAGCGAATAATATTTGTAACCTGCGCGAAAAAAAAATTTAAAACTGTGTCAGTTTTCAAAATATAAAGAAAGACCTTCTGCTTTAAATTGTGTTCAGTAAGTGCTGCAAGTGCGATAATTCTGGCTTAAGCAGCAATTCTTGTTAATGATATTTTGTTTTCAATGTCAGGGAAAGACATGATTATTTCCTCAATTTATTTTAAAATTAAAATTCAATTAATTTTAATTGAATTGGAGTGTATGCAGCATTGGGGTGTATGCAGCATACACATCAGTTTTACATTGTGGAATGTATTTTCTTTTACAGTGAGATCCCCAGATGAAGACATAATTGATGCATCAAGAGTGTCCCTATAAGTTGAGTCTCATTTTCCCGTAGACTTACATTATATAAATTTTAATTGGTGTTTTATAGGAGAAATCTTCTTCAGAATTCCATGAAAAAAAAATGTCCACTTGAATTTGATCTTGTGAATATATTTTCAACCCAATAAGAACATTCGGAGCGTTGAATAGTATACCGCTGAACATTTCATTGAAATCTTGGCAGCATATGTAAAAATAACATCCAAGTTACAAAGAAAGGAGGAAGTCCCTCTGTGCTATTGGTAATTTTATTCAATCAGCTGAATGGATGGGAAAATGATGGGAAAAGTACCAAAGAATTTTTCTTGCATAAATCTTAGGTTTGGAAATATATCTGTTTCTTGCAATTGAGCCTAATGAAAGCCAATTTTGCTCAAATGTATTGGCAATTTTATCATGCAATGTCCTCATGTTGAGTTAGTTTCCATATTTCAGGCCATTTTCATGATTTTTTAACAAAAAATAAATGTACCTATGTTGAATTGTCCCCATGTCAAGGTGTCTCACTGTATGTGGGGGTCTCACTGTATTTTGGTATCCATATTATACAGTTTTTTTCTCTGTTTCCCATTCTGAACTGATTGAATGCCTTTGAATGGATTTAAGCTGAGTGGGGAGGGGGTTTGGATGTGGGAACGTTGATTGAACTTTGGCAATGCTGGAAAGCATAAAATAAAGCTTTCTGTTCATTCATTCACTCAAAAAAACCAAGTTGATGACAAACATCATTGTATTTTTCCATGGCTAAAATATTCCATATAATTTTGAAGCATTTTACTGACCTGATACGTAGTCCCCTTCATGAACAACAGCGTCGTTGAAGCTGTTATCACAACCAGGCTGTGGAGAAGATCCACCATTCGGATAAAAATCGTAATGGCCCATTGCTTGAGCTGTTCCAACACCTTGAAAATCATAACGAGAGAATCGCTGATTCAATTCTTAATTCCAAGTATCAACTAATTTGTAAAACACATACTGTATATATTGAGAATGAGATGAAGCATAAGAAAGTTAGGTCGGCATGGGAGAAGTTCGCAAAAAGGCATCTGAATTTCAACGCAGTTTTTAATACCAGAATTTCTGTAATTTTTAAATTATTGAAGAACATTGCGTTGATTAATTTGACAGACTTCTAACTTTTTCTTCTTCTTTTTTTTTTTTACCTTCGATACCGTTGAAAACATCCGTGTGAATAACATCCACGAAAAGCGCGTCCGTCGGGTCGACCCTCACCACAATATCCGTGTTGGAGAACCCGAAATGGTCTGGGTCCAAAGCTGAAAAGAACATCCAACTGAGTGAACCCAAATGGTCACAAAAATTATAAATAAATAAAACGATCACCTGTTAATCTCGCAAGCACAGGCACAGCGAAAGGATCAGATCCTTTCAGGGTTGTGCCAATATACGAGCCCAAATGCGCTCCCAAACCGTGTCCGATCACGTGCATATTCGCAGCCGTAAATCCAGGCTTTCAATATTTAAAAAAAAAATCGGTCAGTACAAAAATATTTACAGGAGAAATTTTGACGTTATGATATACGCTTTTTATAATTTAATAATAGACCAATATTCGCCCAATAAAATTCGAAGAGGCGCGCAGCCAAAAATTAATTCGGCGTGAAGACTTGTTTTCGGGTGGAGTTTTCGATTAATTAAGAAAAAAATAAATTCACTCACGACTAAGATCATCACGTGCTGAAAGAATCTTGCTATCATGTCACCAGCTAATCGAGCATCTGCACGAGCTTGAGCTCGGGTAATTAATGCTGTATTCCAAGCCACAACAATCACGTTTGTGTAGGCAGGACCCGGAGCAGGTCTCAGCAAGGCATCTTTCATGTCCTAAAATTTACCCAAAAACTTTTTTAAAAGCTGTATTTAAAAGGAAATTCAATTAATTAGCACCAACCAAAATCCATCTGGAATTTTTCGAGTCGCTGAATCCGTGAATTATCAACGCCGTTGTTCCAGCAGCAAACGTTCCTAAATCGGTTGGTACAATTTCCTTGGGATAAAATGCGCATTTAATAAATAAATTGTCGGCTTGGGGTTATTTTTTGGTCAATCATGACACAGATAATGATTGATATCCAACTGACCTTTGGTAAAAATTGCGTCGCTCCGGTCCTGTACAAATAATATTTTGGCTGAACAGTCGTTGGGCTTCTGGGAAGCCTTTCTATGTTTCTTCTTGGTGGATCCGTCCAAGGGTAAGAAGTGCTGTAGCAGCCATAGAAATTGTAGCAAACAGAACGTCCAGTTGCTACTCAAAAAAATTAAGAGATAAAAAGCGATTCTGAATTAAATATTTCTTCGAAAAAAAATTTCTTCCAAGGTCTTCGATGCTAGCCATAGAAATTGTAGCAAACAGAATGTCCAGTTGCTACTCAAAAAAATTAAGAGATAAAAAGCGATTCTGAATTAAATATTTCTTCGAAAAAAAAATTATTCCAAGATCTTCGATGCTAGGAGCAAATACTGTACTGATCAATGCACTATAGTAGAAGCTAAAAAAAACTAAATTCCGGGACTGAAATACTGTACTGTACAGTAATGCCAAAATTATTTCAGCATTTGCGAAGAGAGCCACAAATAAATATCTCCGAAGAAACCTCTGTGTGTCAAAAACTGTTTTATCAAACTGCAGTTCAAGTCATAATTTTATCTCAAATTATAGAAACAAAAACATTTTCAGACAATTTCAATTTTCGTAATATACAGGGATTTTTGAACATTTGAAGCAAATTTTAAAAGCCTCATTAGTTTTTTTTTAATATAGAAAGCGGCAAGTCTTTTGAGGCTCAAGTATTTGGTGAGTAATTTATTCAATTTTGAGTTCAGAAAAAATATGTTTCCTAAATTCATCTTCAAGAAGAATGAATACAATAACATGTTCAAATGCACTCACTATAATGTATATGTAGTCGTCAAGGAATCAATTTAGCTCACAATTTTTTGAACTTATAACTAAAAATATGTAAAAACTGCTTCTGAAATAATATTGAAGAGTTTATTTTCAACGAAGTTTTACAAAAAAAAAAAGATTAGATCTGTTAGTCCTTTCCAATTTCGACTTATTCGAGACCATGCTGATCCCCATCTTCTATTTTGACAAGCTATACAAGAACTAAATTTAATTTTTCTCGAATAATTCTGCTTGATGAAGGAAAGTACCGTAATTGGTGAAATCGATGAATGAAGCTCACACGACATCTGCAATATGTTATTTTATTTTGATTAGACGAACTTTATTAATTTTACTGTTGCTTCGGTATGCAAGTCTAATTTCCCTCATGGACATAAAATGTATTATTATGAAAAAAGTTATACAGTATATGAAAGTATGAACATTTCTGGGGCATAAGGAATTTCTCTTTGTGCCAATTTCTTCTTTATCCACACATCAAGTTTGTTGTTGTTGGTTGATGATTTCACTTCACTTATTGTGTATGGTTTTGCTGCTGAACTTGATACACATTTTTTATTTACTTTTTAGTTCATAAGAATCTCAGCGCATCACGTTCAAAAAGAAACCACAATCACGCAGTCCATGATGTATACAACCATTCTTCCCTGGAATACTTTCACTGACATCTGGCTGTACAGAAACTCACTGACCTTTTCTGATCCAAGGATCACTGTAATAAGCCCCGTAATAAGGGCTATGCGACCTCGTCGCAGCGTCGGTGTTGACCTGACCCGATGAACCCGGGATCGGATTCACTCCGGAATTCGCGTGTCGTCTTCTATTATTGGCGACTGCGTTCGACGCGGTCGCAGCGAATCGCCTGAGCAGGTTCCAGTAATCCACGTAGGATTTGGCCAGGGACCTGAACATCCGGGAAATCACACCGGGTTGCTGCTGTTTTTCTTGTTTCTTTTCGGCGTGTTGGTCGAATTTGTTGGCAGCGGATGATGATGATGATGATGATGAAGAGGTGGCGAAGTGGAGTGACAGAAGGAGGCACACCAAAATCGCGACTCCCCTCGGCGACATTATTATTTTCATTCCAATATTTCTTGGATCTGAAAGCAAAATGTATCAAGACAGTTTCTTTCACCCTCCTGGAAAGCTGTGAAATGATTCAATGCGTAAATGATACTATTTTATTTGAAAAATAATCTTCATGATGCTTTAAAATTTTCTGAATCACAAGAAAAATAATTTCAGAACGATTGTTCAAAGTTAATATTTTGCGAAGAACGAAATTTCAAAGTTCAAAGCAAAATATCCGTTGTTGAAGCTGGAAATCTTGGAAAACACAGTTTTTCTTATGGAATTATAGTTAATATAATTTTCGGAATCACAAGGAAATAACTTCAGAACGATTGTTCAAAATTAATATTTTGCGAAGAACGAGCTGTCAAATGTCACAGCAAAATATCCGTTGTTGATGCTGAAAATCTTGAAAAACACAGTTTTTCTGGTAGGCATAATAAGCTTCGTTTCTTAAGCTGATACAGTATATAAGAAAAATATAATCTCCTTAATCTGAAATCAGACTCTGAAGGTTCTTTGCCTTTTTGAAGTTGCAAACTGTGAAACAAATTCTCTGGGGAAAATAAGTAAGAGACGAAAAGGAATATCGGTATGAATATCAATTCTGTTCATCAACTATAGAAAGTTGTTGACCCTGATAAAGTATATTTGAATGGGGGATCATCTGAAAAACGTAAAATAATTGGAAAATAAACGTATTACAGCATTATGAAAAATGTTTTGAAGTGGAATTTTCCAGGAACAATTCACTGACTTGGAAATTATTTTACTTTTTTGTCTTCATAAAATATTCTTGGATATGGAGAAAAATATATGGGGACGACCAATAAGTTGGCTTCGAAGTACAGTAATTTCAAAACGTTTTTGATACTTTTAACCCCCTTGAAGACACGGAATAAGTTTTTAAAAAAACTAAACGATATTTCCTGAGTATACACTATTTACAATGCATTTAAACAAAGAATATCCCACCTGATTTAATATCGCAACGAAGTGCCTCACGTTGATGCACTTTCATTATCTTAATATACGAATTATTCTACCGCTTTTTTTCGTTAGAACTATACTGAAGGTAAATTTAGCTGCTTATTGTGAACAAAGTGTGAGAAAAACCATTGTTCGAGCCTCAATAACACAGGTGTTGTAAGAGAAAATTCTCACGATGCAATTTCTCTCGATTCAGATACGCATGTTCACGTAATCGACACATTTTAAAAATCTAAAATTTAGTCCAGCAGAGGAAAATAACACGATTTTCCGTTCCTCAGATTTTAAGCGCGAAAAATCTCGTCGTTTTTCGGGAATTTTACAGCCATGCGATCTTCGATTTCTGGGGACTTATAATTTTAAAATAATAAGATGGCATACAAAGAATAAATCTGCGAAGGGATCCTAATGTAAATTGATTCGTAAACAAAACAAAACTGTGACCAAACACGTGGATACATGAACTGACACAGAACAAAAAAGCTCGTCATGCTGTAGAACAACGAAACTCTTGTTGTTGTTGACCGATCGGCGGCCGAGTGCCGAGTGAGGCCTTCTGAGCCAGCAACACACCGACATCGTTGATGTTGTGTGCATGATAATGGGGCATATGGAGAGAAAGAGAAACTGCCGAGGATTCCAATCATTTTTTTTTGTGTCCCCCTCTTGAAGACGTTATTATAGATCACGGGTTCGAGGCGAGAAAGTAAGACGAAAAGCCCTTCAAAAATCTTCAATTTTTTCAGGTCATTTACTTATTTTTATTCCGAAGAGAGAGGCACAGCAAGAACGTGATCAGTTGTCGCATCCAGTTAATTTTAATTACAGATTTAATCACTCCCACTTCCCTAAAACTGGGCTTTCTGACACAGCCCCAGTTCAGACAACTTTTATCCCATTCTAAAAATTATTAACCAAAAAATACACCTCTGGGATTCTGTGTGTGATTCCACTCCCCAAACGGATCAGAAACACACAAAAAATCTTATGAAAATGCGAGAGCTTCCAATTTATGCCATCAACAAAAAAAACGCTCAAATCGGGGTAAAAATTACCCTGGAAGTCTGGATCGAAAGGATTGATCCAAATTGTATTATATGCTTATACTACTGGTGTAATTTGTTTTAAATCATTCAACAAGTGTTGAGAAATAAAAAAACGCTCAAATCGGGGTAAAAATTACCCTGGAAGTCTGGATCGAAAGGATTGATCCAAATTGTATTATATGCTTATACTACTGGTGTAATTTGTTTTAAATCATTCAACAAGTGTTGAGAAATTTTTCAAGTTGATAAACTCGTACGCAGTAATTGTGACACCGATAAAATTAATTTATTTACTTTGAAACTTCAAATGAAGTTCCTAGTCAGTCCTGACGATTTCTGAGTTTTATTTATTTTATTTTTGTTTGGAATCTCTAGCTGTTTAGGCAACCTCAACATGTTAGAAGACTTTGCATGCCAAAAAGAAAATCAGGAAGCAAAGGAGATTCAGATACAGATACAAAAATTTGAAATAATTCTGTGGTTGAACTTTTTCTGTGCTGGTTTATTTCTTATAATAGTCGCTCTAAAGTGTGGGAAAAATTCACATCAAAATCTTTGAAGTACTATGCAGTGAGTCTAAGTACAAGTTTCCTACTCTATAAATGTATGTAACAAATCCTGAACTGATATAATTTGGCGAGAAGATGTAGCACAAACAAGATTTCATATTTCGCGAGCACTATAATAAATATCGTCGGCGATGAAAATAATCTGGATGATTCTTCGAAGATTAAAAAAAAACACTGATTCTATCTAGAAAAACGTTAGTAAGAAAATGTAAAGCAAATATCGCCTGACCTCTTCTACCCTAATATATCTGTCTGTGCAAAAGTCATTTTCCTTACATCTGAGATCCTATAGTTATTCGTGGAAAATGTGCGAACAAATTAATTTAAAGAAATTGTTTGTCCCTCTGAAAATGAAAATAGAGCTGCATCCGATCATCAAAATACAGTAACGAAAACGTGCTTCAAAATGAGAAGTACTAGTGTATGAGAAAAACGTTCAGCAAATTCATTACAAAATTTAATACGTTTCGTGCATAAACGCACTTTCTTCCATGAAATTTCCGCCAAAAATAAAAACCGGTAAATCTTCAGGATAAATTTTTTGGAAAAATCGACATACCTTCTAATTCAGAAAGATGTGAAGGGACTCGTGCAAGAAAGCATCACGTTTTTCGATTTAGTTGTTGGAAATTGATAGTTTTATTGGTGTTGCCATGTCATGTCTAACATGATGTCGCGACGCGCAAGCGAGACCTCAATTGTTTTTCCGTGAGACTCTCGCAGAATGCCGCCGCACCGGACTTTCTTTCCGTCTTATTTTCTCTTTATTTCGTCTAGATCATGAGATTAAATGTGAAGATATATTCTAATATTCAGAGAAGATCTAAATCTCGGAAAAAAGGCCTTTCAAATGTTCGTATCATGTTATCTTTTAGCTGAATTGTTTTGCTTGATATCAAACTCTCCCCGCAGCAGTTATACGCTTGAGTGATGGTGCTTTTTTATTTACAGAACTAGACAAAGATTTCTAATTATTCCAAAAATATTATTGACTGAATGCCTCCAGAAATATTCAAGCTAAATTTTTCATTTAAATGTTGTTAAGGCGAACAAATTCCCCACATCTGCGTTTATTGAATAGTTCTCGAAAACAAAACGAAAAAGGAAGAAAGAAATGAATGTGATCCTGCGGATGTCAGATATACAACGTTCTTTTTATTTATCATCTTGACAAGAATAACATGTTTTTAAAATTTCAAACTGGTGAGAATATTTGTCTCTCGCACCCGATTTATTGAATGAAAAACTGCAATATTTCAAAACTAAGGCATTATTATAGCAGAATTTGAATTTATACACAGATCAAACCTGAATTAAATTTCATTTTACCCCGTGAAAAAAAGTTTGTGTGCTTTTTTCCAATTTTTAAAGTGAAAGAGATCCTCGCTGGTCTTTTTCTCTAAAAGAAAAAGCTAATCACCATCAGGTAATGGTCAACTTCATGTGGGCTGCTGGAAGAAAATACATACCTGAGCTTTCATTTTGAAAACCACGCAGAAAAATGGTTCAGGAACATCGTGCTGATGATGATGGGCAGATACTGTATATACCCATGTCAGGGCTGAGAAAACCAGAGCAACGAAAGCGTTTGACTGCTTTGGGTGGGGTCCTCGTTAATCACCCGCCACCCCGGGTTTCAGGACTGAACCTTCAGCATAAACAAAAACTAATTCAGGAAAAGCGGCGCGTTTGCGAACCTGCTGCAAATGAGCTGTGCTTTCCTGAGGGCTTTTTTAAATGCGCGTGCTGAGCCTGAAACCCAGAGAACCCAAATGAAAGAGATTTGGCCTCAATGTGCCTGTTGGATATATGTTCCGGCGGGAAAGCACGTTTGACGTGTGACGGATTTCCGGCTGGTGTATATTTCGGCTTTCCGGAAGTACTGTATACTTTCATAGAGGGATGAACGAAGTGGGAAACATATATTTATCCGGTCGACTAAAAAATTTTAATGCTGCTGTATTTAAACAGCAATATTTCATGAACGTTTTCGGGCATGGAACGAAAATGAAATCATGATTAGACTGGAATTAACTTTTAAAATGATGACTGCATGCTTGCTTAATTCTTCTTTTACATTATAAATGGTCTTCTTTATTACTTATATTGTTGTTAATGATTAAATACTTAATGAAGTGAGTGAGAGAGTGTAGACTGTAGAGGATGTATTTTAAAATTAACGATTCTCCATTTACTGTATATGATAAGGGAAAGCAAGATCATGTCAAAAATTGAAGATGAAAACAAACACTTGAGATATCCTTCACCATGCTGGAAGTATATGGAGAGCAACATAGACTGAGAAATAATATACAGTACTGTACGTTCGTGGAACACTTGGATCTTCCACAAACGCATAGAACATCGTAAAAAAAACGCTAGTTGACCATTTTGGCTTCAGAATTACCGGAAGTCGAACCCCAGATATTTTATGAATTGTATTGTGTAACTCATTTACGTCAGCAACTCACCATTGATGACCGTTGGCACCCCGATAGATGGAGGCAGCAGTTAATCATGGCGACCCGCATAACTTCGGTGGTGAAGTTTCCAAAAGACGCAAATCGGCGATTGTGAGTTTTTGAACGTGACAATGAATTGAAATTGACCGTGTGACACCCGTCTATCTCTCTCTGCATTCAAAAATTTTATTTTTCACCTCCTCACGGTACTCTACTGAAGTAGAATTGAGAGTTTTACTTGTGAGAATTATGTAAAAGCCATGCAAACAGAAAACGCAAATCTGTGATCGGTGGTAAAAAAAAAAGTATCCGATTGGACCTCCGAAGAGAGGGTCGAAGCTATTTATGAGCATGAACTGGGGCCGCGAGTGCATTTTAAATGTGTTCTTCTAAACCAGTTGAAGGTCTTCTCATGCATTCGAAGGTGTGCCCGCGGTTGACAGTGAGATTCGTTTAATGGGTTCTTAAAATTACATGGCTATATTATCCAGATTTAGCCGAAGAGCTTCGTGTTTGTTCAGAGTTTGTGTACTAGGCGTTAGAACAATGTCAGAATTGAAGTCACCCAATCGCATCCTCACTTGCTCGGGTGATTTCACTCCTCAGCAAGTTGTTGCTTGTATGCTATTGAAGTTACATCCGTCTTTTGTCAACACGGAAGTCATAAGGTGAGTTTTGCCGACTTACGTCCTTCTGAGCGGTTATTGGAGTTTTTTTAACGTTTAAAGTTTTATGACGTGAAAAATCTTGAGGTAAACTTGACTACAATAAGGCGAATTGGTCCCGAGGTGTTTCCTGAAACATTATTTTGCTAGATCATCAGAACTGGACGATATACAAGAAGGGGATGCTCAGGTTGAGATTGGTGAAGTACATGATCCCGAGAATTTCCTCTTCGGTGGCTCCTGCGGCTCGTCACTTTCATTCAGTTCATTCAATGCCGGAAATGGGCCTAGACTACCACTGAGCATTGCAGGAGTAGTGTACTCCAATCACGGCAAAGAGATTTTGAGAAACCTTCTCGGCTCGAAAGCGGAGGATTGTATATATACTCTTTTTAAAAAGGTATATGAAAGTTTCATCATCGAAATTGATGCCCTGGCCCTTGGATATCCCATCGGATTCTCACCCATGAAGTAAGTTACGTATAAATATAGGCTCCGTTTGTGTTGATCTTGATTCGTGCTGAACTGTGTTGAACCGTCTCGTAAATGTTTTCTTTTATTCATGACTTTCACTCAGGATAAAAGACGGTATTTGCACGATTTAAAGGTGCTAGGAACTCTGAACGCAACGCGAGGGAGAGAAATTCGAATTACCTTTCAGTAGTATGTCCACAATTCATAGCCTTGAAGCGAAATTTAATTGCGTTAAATTAAAGCTTTTAAAATGGTTTTTGAAGAATTCGGTAGATTTATTCTATTGGGGCTTTTCCAAAGAATTTTATTTCCGAAAGCGCTTCTTTAATGGAAAAGGTCGTGGAAACACTGCATTTAACTTTAAACGTAGTTATGCACGCATAAATAAATTTGTTGGCAGTTTTCAAGGCCTACTTTGTTGTTTCAGGTATAGGATCTCCACGGATTTAACAACGCGAATCAACAGATTGAATATCACTGCTCGTAGGAACTGTGAAGACGGTGCAGAAGCTTTCGCAAAGGCTCTGTCTATTGCCGAACTCGAGTTCCGTGAACAGATCGATTATTACATGCACGTGTGGGCCCCAGCTCGTGAACTTGTGAAACGCGCGATTCAAACGCGAAAGAGCTTGTATCAAAGCGGCGAGATTATTCAACTCAGTACTGGTGGGTGTCCGTGGGTGGAACACTTGTTTGACATCGAAAAAGATTTGAATATTGAAGATGCCATAAAATTCGTGCTTTTTGAGGACTCGAGATGCAGTAATTGGCGTGTGCAAAGCGTGCCAGTGACCCCTAAATCATTTGTGCTTCGTGTGGGCTTGAAGGATGAGTGGCGCGGGTCTCGCGACGAAGAGTTGAGTCGGGTTGCCGGGATTCCGGGTTGCATCTTCGCGCACAGTTCCGGTTTTATTGGTGGGAATGCGACGTTTGATGGCGCTCTGCAAATGGCCATCAAGTCATTACCCGTCTCTTGATAAAGAATTTTTGTACCTCCTGAATGGCTTCTGGTTTATTTCCGCGCGATCCTCGTACAGTATTAGAGATATTTCTTATGGAGTGAACTCCAATGCTGCAGAACCTCGATTATCCGAGAATTCTTCCGAATTTTTTCAAATTGTGCATCATTGTGACCTGAGATTTTCAGTTTGAAAATAATTTTTGGCGAAAGCTATCATCCAATCGTACATTTCAGGATCATTTTGGATACAAATTTCATTCGAATCGACGGCTCGTTAAAATCAAGATGAAATTCTCACTTAATTTCGGCATTCTTCGATCCACATCTCGTGTCATCCCGAGATAAATCTCAAATTAAATATAAGTTCGAAACGAATCGCTGGAGATGAATGAATGAAAGTAAGAAGACCATTCCTCAGTTATATGATCGATGAAATATTCAATGCCATCACTGTTCATTGTCCTCGTTTTGTTGGTCAGCAAGTTTTCCTGTAGTCTTCTCTTCCAGTAAAAGGGCACGTATACACTGATATCTTCCCCTCGGATCAAATAACAGCAGTTGAGAGAGCTCTGAGATCACGTCAATAGTTTGCCCTGAAAAGAAAGAAACTTCATTCAATCGATAATCATAAAAACTTCTCCCTGAAGACAACGAAGAAAGAATCGAGAAGCGTACGAATTTTCTGGGGACACGAAAAAATTTCCAGATTACAGTGAATCAGCGAATTCAGCGGGTCCACTAACGGGAGTTCCAATTTAAAAAGGATTAAATCGAACCCAATTCCTCGTAAATTGCGAAAGTAATATCAACCAGAAGGTGAATAAACTTCCATACGAACCCGAATGGCTTTCCATTTCTCTCACACGTAGGAAACTTGACAGAAATTCAGGAACAGGGAGTGAAAACAATCGGTATGACGCTCCACTTTCGTCCTCCAATCATCCCGTCCGAGCACATTTTGTAGCTGAGGAACATAAAGTCGACAATGATATTGTCATTCTTTCAAGAAATGAATGCAAGAAAGATCCTGAGCGACACAAATGATGCCATGAGAAAATTCCGCAGGAAAATATGCAATAAGAAAGGAATGCTGCGGAGAAAAATGGGACGCGGGAGAAAATGCCCGTAAAGGGTAAATGCCGTGCGTGCGAGAATATCCCGCTAATATGCTGTAAAGCCATGCATGCTAAGAAGGGGATAGCTCTGGTAGAAGTCAATTTCCTTCAATCTAAAGAATTTCAAAATTGAATCAATTATTGTCCGTTTATATACTTCGTATTGAAACGTTTAAAAACCATTCCCTAAAAATGGAAGGGCTCATGTCGTCCAGATGTAAAGTCGCGGAAATGGATTCCGTCGGAGTCGAAGCTTGGTTTCTTTAATTGTAAGTACTGTAATCATGATTAATTTTTTTTGAACAATGTGTCGTTTCATTGTGTTCACTTTTGCTGCGGGATTTTTTTGTTCCTCGCAACATTCTCACCGTTGGCGTATTTTCTCGATACCCTGGAAATTTTTTCACGGATTCCGCGCTGGTATTTAGCTCAGATTCGTCTTGAAAATAAATTCTTAGATTGAAGTATGTATTTTTGTGCGTGTGCAAAAGTCGAAAATAACCTGGCTGAAGTTTCCACAGACGTTAAAGTGATATCAGGCACGAGAATTTCAGTGTTGAAGTCCAACTTTGGCACAAAAATGAAATGGATTTCGCCATCCAAAGCACCGGTGTTGGTTGTTTTTAGCGGCGCTCTGCTCGTCAGGATCCCATTAATCCTCGTGTTGTACTCAACTTTCAACGGCCTGTCAAGAGGTAATGAATTATTTTTGTATCTTGGAGAGAAGGAAAATGAATTTTCAGATTAAAATCTCGGGCGTATGTCGGACTCACGGGCCGTTGAGTTTGAAAGTGTTTTCAATGAAAACCCCAGAGGAGTCCCGAAAGGTCACGTAGGCGTCGCCTTTGACCCTCAGGGTTGTCATAGCGAGGAAAAATCTCCCATCTCTTGAACTTTCCTGGTGTGTATGTTCAACAGCAGAAGACGATCCCTGTTGGGTTCTGGGGCCTTCTCGGTTTGCTGGGCGTTTCAGCAAACTGCCGAATCGGACCGAAACGTAGTATTGGTACCCTGAGGCGAAGGAACAAGCACAATTCAGTTTGTACAGTTCCCCGTGTTATATTTCGAATGCGTACCACACAATACGTGTCCGAAATAATTAAAGCATCATAATTGTCTTAGGTGATTTGAGTTTTGGTTTTTTCTGCAAAATGAAAAGGTTCACAGTGGCCCATCCATTCTTAATACAGTGTGTCCTCTTTTAAATGGAATTCCAAGGGAAGAGAAAAATCATTGACAAGAGGAGAGTTTTCAAGTGAGCATAAAATGAAGAATTACAAGAAATTTAAATAGGTCATATTCTGTGTCTTGAGAGGCTTTAGAAATTACTTGACAAAATGCTGAACTTGAAGTCAAGGGTTAGTACATTTTCCCAATTTTCAACTCTTTTTCTTGTGAAAAGTGTCAGGTTAATTTTTAACATTTTCATTGCATTTGTTGTTCCTGGGTCCCCAAGTTAATAGCAGTATAGCACAAAGGCTTTTGGAAAATTAAACTTATGGAGGTTTAAGGGAGAAAGGCTTTGAGTTACAGAGGTATATAAAACATTGCTTATAACACTTGGTTTCCATACTGTAGCAAAGGTGGGATGTTTTGCGCATGTGCACATTTGCATTTGACCAAAGGTCACCAGAATGCAGCCTGGGTTGAGAAATCCAAAGTTGGGAAAAATCCATGAAGAGTAAATCTCCTAATATATTTACAAATCTTCAATGTCACTCATGTGGTAGGAATGAGGAAAAAATGTCACACAGCAAGTAATTTTCAATTTTTTTGGCCAACATTTTCTGCAGGTAGTGAGAAAAATTGGACTGTTTCCTTGAGGTTGGCCTTTGTTCTCAATCAAGCTTTTTAAAATTGCTCTTGGGCGCAGCGTTTTTTGAAAATATCTTGACTCTGCTGCTGAAAGGTTAATGTAATTCAGACAGGGATAAAAATTAAAATATGGACACTTTTACATGAAGAGGTTTATGTTATTGAGGTCCAACTTTTACAGTTCTGCAAATATGCATTTCTTCAAATGCCTGTCCCAATCAGAACCCGAATGGGGAGCTATTTTTGCTGTGACCCCACAGTAGGTGCACACCAGGGTCACAACTGGTGCATATGGGATTTTCTGTGGTTACAAGTTTGTACTCCTGTAGAGGAAACTTTGCTACCAATATTCCAGGGCTAAACTTTGTGCACAAATATGACAACAGGAGTATCACACAAATGCACCAATTGTAACCTTCCACATTGAATAAACAAATGTTTACACTGGGACTCATTAGGACCACACTTCTGTGTTAACCACGTGTCATCCCTATACGTACACGTTGTCTTCTTGAAACCATGTGAAGTCCAAGTGTCGTCCCAGTCTGTGTAGAATAACAAACATATCCCCAGTGTGCACCAATTTCCCCACTCAGGAAAATAAATGTTTTAAAATAAATGGTAACTTTTTGTTTGGATGTAAAGAAAAAAACTGAACTTACTGCAAAACGGATACTCCTTGTCAGACCTCAGATAGAATCTCAAGCCACCAGTGCCATGAAGATCAGGGTTATAGTCATACACAGAGTTGTATCCCATGCGCATGCAGGCTTGACTAGCAGTGCCATCTTGCGGACACGTGGCCGAACACTGACCACCTGCGAAACTTCTCCAGTCCTGACAAGCTACTGCTCTGAAATCACAACCACTCCCAATGACTGAATCATGCTGGATCGACTCCAAGAAAAAGTCCACTGCCCGGAAGTGACTGCAGTACACATATTTGCGTAGAACTGAACGAAAAAAATGTCATTCATTCAAGAGCTTATTCTACAAGAAAATGTTGAATATAAATTTGTCAAGTATGGTACCTTCTCTGAGATTTCCATTGCCTTCTCTCCAAGCCTGGAAAATATCCATGTCGCAGCCTGGCTGTGGAGTGCCTCCACCATTCGGAAAAAAATCAACGTGGCCCATATTTTGATTTGTGCCCAGACCTGTCCAGATAAAAATATGTAGAAATGAAATATAAAAAACACACAATTTCTGGATTATACTGTACTGCTCTTGTCTTGAGCACATCTCCCTGTAAAAACAGAATTGGAATGTCAAATTTCCGCACTTGGTCTCATTTTTCACATTCTCCCGCAGCAGTTGAAGCAAAAGTAAAACAGTTCAGATGATCAGATAGTTCTGAAGAATTTTTTTAATGATTTTTTGACTTCCGAAATTTTCTGATCACCAAAAATCCGGGGATGGAAGTGTAAAAATGCCAATAACGCATCCCCCAAAAACTTTCGTTCATATAAAAAAATTTGAAGAAATAGAACTTTCAGACCTTAGTGAAACCTTTTTAGTGACGCCCAAGAAATTCCATTATTTTATTTGTGAATGGTGCAATAATGGAAATTCAAAAAAGTTGACATTTTTGATCATTCACATTTTGGCCCAACAGCTGTTTGAATTATTGGAGTAATTAAATTAAATATTTTGGACTGAGAATCAAATGAAGAAGCACATCTAGGATATAAGATACTTTTTTACTGTTTTTTTCGTCTTCCTCACAATATCAAGCAATGTAAAGAAGAAAAAATTACTGCAGAATTCTGCTTAAAATGCGCTTCTTGTAAATACAAGTACAGTATAACTGTGTGAGAAAAGACTGATGAGGCTGCGAAGTTTCAGTTTACTTTTTGGAAAAATTAATCAAGAATTTTTACTATTTTCCTCAGAATTTAAAGTATATGTATACAAAAGAACAAACCTTCAAGCCCATCATATACATCAGAGTGGATGACATCAACAAATTTGGCGTCGGTGGGGTCAACCCGAACGACCGGGTCAGTGTCCGTAAACGCCGGGTGGCTCGGGTCCAATGCTTCAAAAAATAAAATAAAGGCGGACAACATTTGCATGAAAAATCCGTGCATTCATGAGAAAATATTCGTCTTAAGCTATTCCAAAGAGTGAGAAAATAGGCTCATTAGCATCACAAAAAAATTCGGAACTCTGTGAGAGGGAGAGTCTTCCGGGGAAGCTAATTAATTCCTTGGGGGTCATTTATGTCACTAGAACGCGAGAAACATTCGTTTTATTCCTTTACTTTTTAAATACACTGGTACAATAAAATATGGGAATTTTTGAAGACAGAGAGTCATGGCACGTCAAATAATATATTTTTCTTCACAGCATCCCGTTAGTTCTTCTTTCGAATCATATTCCGAAAGCGTGATTCTGGAACACTTTCTCAAGAATACGTAAAATTGAAAGGCAGACTTTTTTTAAAATATCAAGAGAGAGCTAAAACGGAAGAATTCGATCAATTAGAAGGAAATTGGTTCACCTGTGAGTCGACCGACGACAGGTTCCGGGCCGCCGCCCTTCAGGGCGTAGCAAATGTAACTCGAAAAATGCGAGCCCAAACTGTGGCCTATGATGTGCAAGTCGTCCATGTTTAATAGGAAATTATCCTGCGAAAAAAAAAATTTAAAATAAAACGAAACATTTCGTGAATAGGAGTCGTCGGAAATTGATTTTTTAAAACCGTGGTTCCATCATCCGTTGGATTTTGTTTTTTGTCGGAACGCGGTTTCGTTTCCTGAAATATTTTGGGTTCCATTATCAATCACTTGGAATTTCTCACGAAGCTCGAATAATTATTCTCAAATAAAATCAAATTCATGAAAGTAGACCCAGCGTTTCACTCCATGCAATTTTGGCGCTATTGACTAATAATGAGACATCTCCACATTTATGCTAAAAAATTCCCTCTGACACCAGCCGAAATTCGCAAAATTCAGAATCCCTCATCAAAATAAAAATTGTCTATCTCATAAGAAGCTTAGTTTGAGCAAAATGGTCCTTAAAATTGAATAAATAGAAAAACTGGGTTTTAGTGGTGGAGGATATATTTTTTTCATTTGCGTGAAGTTTCTCTCGAGGAAAACTTCTTCTGTCAATCTGATAAATGGAATGTAAATGAATAAAATAAGTATCTATAGCACGTATTTTTCTCCTCGACATTTCTGCATAGCCTACATCCATTCTGAGATTTTTATTCGTTTTCTTCGGACCTATTTTCACTGAAATCGTTTTCGTGTCCTGGAAATGTCGACCTGGCAGCAGGGCACCAAGGTAACATCTTTGTTTCGAAAACACGGTGTCTTCGAGAAAAATTCAGTAGCTAAATTGTATTTTTGAGCATTAGTTTTTCCTTGATAACATTATATAATTCATTTTTCCATCAAAATGCTTTTCGTTGAAATTAAGATTGGTAAAAATATTTGGCTTGCGTAGGAAACATCATCAACGATGTTTTACGAATAAACTGCAAAATAAATTCATTGTTGAATGCTACACGAGTATTAATTTTTCGAGATTCAAAAAGCGTGAATTTTAATATACCGGTAAATGCTTTTCCTTGCAAATAATATTTTCAGGAGTCAGATGGAAGAAGTGTATAGCAAACATGCAATGCTAAATTTTTTGTCAAGAAATTAAATTACTACAGATGAGAGGCATGCTTTTACAAACATTTAGAATAATTAAAAAAAAATCGATAGAGCAATCCCTTAGACTTCTATCTTACGCTTCTAGTCTATCTTAGGATTCTAACCCAGGATCATCTTTAGAAATAGAAAAACAGCGTTGTAAAAAATGTGTGTGTTTTATGGGAATCATATCCTCTGCGTAAGATTTTTGTGAACACCCTTCATAAAGACGTGCACATTCCTTTCGTTTCTTTGCCTCGAAGATAATGCGAATAAAGCTTCCGACTAGCATATCGAGTCCATCATTCTAGATTCTTCGCACGTCAAATGTCACTGTCGGAATCGCTGATGCACTTGATGAAGCCCTGAGGCAAATCACTGCATGTACTATTCACCCGAAACAACAACAACAACAACAGGATCTTCTGTTCTGTGAATGCATCCTGTGGATTCACTGCGGGGAAAAATAATAACAGAAGAAACGCGCTTTCGTTTTTCGTTGAAATTGGACACATGCGTGATATGGTTTCGTGCGACATCTACGATAAAAGTATTCCTTGTCTCCCTCATGTTCGTGCAAAGCCACCGAAGAGGGGGAACACGCTTGAAATAGATGACCTGTAAAGGCTGTAATACACATCGCTCATGATCCAGAAAATGTTTCCGTGTTCGTCTTGCACACCTTATTCAAATTTCCGTGATGCAAACTTGATAAATTTATCCCGAATTAGTCGCGAACGAAATATTGTGAACGAGTAATAAAATTTTTTTTTTTACAAAAAAACCAACCTTCAAGAATTGCAAAAAGCTGGCAGTCATTACACCTGCCAATCTGGCATCAGCTCTCGCCTGATGTCGAATAAACAATGGATGCCAATCAACAATGATCACATTCACGTCCGCTCGATCAAGAAAGGCATCCTTCATGGCCTGCAAGTGAAATGCAGAAACTACACTTTTGTCAAACAATCCTGGATTCGATGATTTGAATAATTCATTATTCACGCAAGCAAAAGAAAAACAATTTCCCGTGCCCAGAACTCATTAGCAATCAGATGAAAGGGGATTAATTTGCGAAAATTGATTCCAAATGAAGGTTTGATTGTCAAATAAAATGCTGTGCCTCAAGTACAGATTGTGAGGAGAATTGAAATGAGCTGAATATTTAAATCAATCAGCACGATGGATTCCCTGCAAATTATTTTGTCACTTACCAGAAGCCATGGAGCGTCCGGAGCGTCGTTCTGGCCATGAACTATGACCTTCGTTGGAAGTAATCCTTGAAAATTGCTCTGAGATACGACTTTGTAATCACTCCAAATTGTCTGCAATGAATGGGAATATCAAAATTTTGCAGTTTTCTGCTTCATGAACAGAAGTTATTTCCTGGATTAGTTTTATTTTCAATTCGCGACAGATGACTTTCACGAGATGAGAATTTGTGATCATCATTCTACAAGGAATTCTGCTCACTAATTTTATCACAGAATTTGCAACTCATTTCCGCGGTTTTCAGACAAGCGAGAAAAAATATACACAGAATTTGAATTTCAAAGGGGATGTCGTATGAATTTTTTCTTCAAGCAAGCCTCGGCATTTTATCACATAATTTTCAAATGAGTTTAATAAATTGTTCCGCAGGTGCTCGAACGCCGAAAGTTGAAAAAGTTTCCAGTTATTATTGAATGCAATTTTTTTTATTTCTCATGCAAATTCTTTTAATATATATTTTTTTCACGGAATCCTAACAAATTTCGTCCAATTATTGATTTCATTAATTTATATATTGAACCAACATTGTTCAAAAAGCGCATGAAATTTCATCCCACAATCTGCAGTGGATCGAAATTATTGTTGTCAAGTGTTTTTAGCTTTTCACTGAACATCTTTCACATAAAAACTGTTTTTTCGGATCCAAAAAAATTACAACTTGAATGATGTTCAAGTAACAACAATGCACATATTTTGGATAGTTCCACACGAAACGATAAATAATCCAAGAAATTAACATGCCATTGTGCATAAAGAACATCGTGCGATCAATAATAAAATGCTAATAATAATAATTTTCGCCATTGTTTCGCACAATTTGCAGCGCATTTTCATACAATTCTGGGGTTTTTGTTACTGAAGAAGAGGGAGAAGAAGAATTTTCTGACAGTGTGAACCACCTTCATGGCATGAGTATTAATCTAATGTATATAATGGGAAATAATTTTAATTTTTGTACCGACGGAGAAATAGAGTCCGGGTTCGTAAACTTTTAGCGAAACCTTTTATTTAATTAAGCCCGGCATTTCCAGCGCAGTAGAATTCGAGATTAACGTTGAACGTCAGGGATAATCCGCGAGATAACCAAGAACCCCCGCTTCGTGTGTCTTCCAGCAGTTCGCCTCTCATCAGAAGTCGAGAACAACAGTGCGAGAAGATTCATCCAAATTTATTCCGGACCGAGAGTCATCAGAGAGAAGACGCCATATACAGTATCTCAACAGACGCAGATGTGAGACGGCAACTCTCGGAATTTAATCTACGAGACGCCAAAAGACCTTTCCGCGAAGTTCGACAAAATCTCTTGACAATAACTGTATTCGAGAACATTCGAAATAGACACACACACACGCACCTGAGCTTCAAAATCGTTTCTCCTTGTGTAGAGCAAGAAGTTCGGTCCAACTGTTGATGGGGTTCTAGGTGCGAGTTCGATCCAACGACGCGGAGGGTCGAACCATGGGTACCCGGTTTCATAACATCCGTACATATCGTAACACACCGTTGCACCGAATGCTGCGAAAAGAAGTATAGCAGTGACACCTATTATAGCAAAAAAAGTAAACAAAAAAGCGTCGCAGTGCTTCGCCGCGCGATACGCCTAAAAAAACAAGAAGAAAAATCTCCAGAACATTCCTGGGTGCCGGTACAAATCAATGCTTTCCAGAACAGCACATACCCACGAAGTCCAGAAAAATAAGAACATATATTGTGCAGATATCACAATGCAAAAAAAGCAGAACCATAAAGATAACAAAAACTTGAGTCCTCAACCTACATAATTGAGATTTTTTTCTGATAAGTCTAAGAAGTAATTACTGTACATTGCTGTAGTTGGGCACTAATGATGCAGCCAGAACATAAGATCAATAATCGAGATGAATCAAACACAATGGCCAGCCTGGAACAGGCCAGAGATTTAAATTCAATATCTAAAAATTTATATGTTTCATTGTTCCCAAGAAGCACAACTCAGCAACTTTTTGACGCATCGAAAATATAGCCTTTCAGGAACGCCATTTTGAATAGACTGATGATTACAATCTGGGTGAGAGGGTGATTTATGAATTTTTCAAAGATGGCCTTGATCAGTACTATAAAAGTAAAAATTGTAGGTAATTAGATGCCAGAAGAGATGCAGAATCTGGTAAAGTGCATGAGATTTGGGGAGGGGAGGCTGTTTACGCCCTCACTAATTCCCCGGATTGCCAGATTTAATCTAAACTTGATGCATTTTGTCAATTTATGAGACGAAACACAATTTCTCAACATTCATTCGGTGATTTCGAAAATTTTCTAGAGTCGAAAGACAATAATTCACTTTGCTCATGATGATGTTTGCTTAATAAAAAATAAAATAATTGTGATACTCTTCATTTACAGTATTGTAAAATTTTTTGAAATCTCTTGAAATCTCTTTGAAGTTACAATGTTTAATCAATTTAGTTTAAAGAATTAGATTCTGTATAATAAATGACTGATTAAATGTTTAAAGAATTTTAACCAGGGTTGGTGACACAGGGTGACAATGTTACAAGTTTCTTGTTACCGATATTTTGTTTTCAATGTCAGGGAAACAAGGGGTGTTTGCATACATATGAGTTGTGCAATTGTATTTTGTGGAATGTAATCTATTTTTTTTTTGTTATCCATTTGCATCTAATTTCTCTGTTTCCCACTCTGAAGTGATTGAATGCCTTTGAATGGATTTTGGTTGGGTGGGGAGGGGGTTTGGATGTGGAAATGTTGATTGAACCTTGTGAACGCTGAGAAGCAGAAAATAAAGCTTTCTGTTCATTCATTCATGTTACTAAATTCATGATTCAATCATGGACTTTTCTAAAGTTCCAGAGTTTTTGGAAATTTCAGTAATATTGCTGAATATGAAGAATTTTATTTCATCATCTTCCAACACCTGCCATTGCAAAACTTTATAAATTCAACAACAGAATTATGACTTTTTTTTCACACCAACGTTTCCGGTGCACTCATCTTTTTCTGGAACCCGCTTTTCTGAACCTGCGACGGATTTATTTTCCCCACATCCTATTCGAATATAATATAACCAGGTCACACACACAAAAAAAATTCCTCACCCTTCGCATTCCAGGTCTCGGGGTCATCCACCATGTTCCGCTGACGAACACCGGCGAGGGCGTCCAGGAGGTCCAATGCGACGCCGCCCAGGACTCGCGACAGGAAGTCGAAAAGGACGCCGGCTTGCTTGCTGGGGCGTCCCTCGTCGTACTCGTCGACAGCACTGTTTGACGGCAGCGTCCCCGCGAGGACGAGAATAGCCGCCGCGAGAATACCCGCCGATTTTCTCATTGCTCCGCATGGAGGCGGCAAAAACACTGAATGGGATCAACAATTGGGCGACAAAGGCGTCCCCTCTTACCGCCAATTTCCTCGCATGTCGCTAAAATTATTTTACTATCGTATTTTTTGTTTATGTTAAAAAAAAATATTTTTCTTCTTTTGGTCGTGACACCGCAAATATTTATTGACCCCGTCGCATTTTCACGACGACCACTCGGAATGCGTGACGACTGAAATTAAAAAAATAATTAAATGATTTCACGCTAACGAAGTTGACCCAATTCACAAACGAATATTCACGAGCAACTTTCAGAGAACACGGAATTTTCCACAGATCAGTTTTGCTTCAAAATTTCGTGCGTCACGTTTCTAGAATTTCTTGGTTGATCATAAATCAGACGAATTCAAAAAAAAAAAAGTCAAACCGAGTAAAAGGAAAAAGTAATCGAGGTTTTGACGCAGGAGAAGCACCGAAATCGAAAGCTTCGGGAATTCAATTTATGCTGAGAGACACGAAATGCATAAAAAATGCTGCAAATGAAATACAACAGAAACAGCATTACAATCGAATTTCTGATGCCGGAATAAAAAGATTGAGGTCAATGACATTCGATGAACCATTTTCTCGATTACATATTCTGAACATCAAAAGACGTTTTTGTAAAACTTTGAAAATTTAAAAGTTACTCGAGGTACCCGCTGAAAAAAATTACTCGGGTTTTGTGGCAAATTAACGTACCCGAGAAAAGTGCTTGGAACACGATTGCATATACAGTATTCCATTCACTGAAAAACGAATATGCAAAGAAGCAGTTAAAAGAAGAAGAAAAAACATTAAAATGAAGCCCGGAACGGAAGAATTAAATTTTATCTTCACCACGGAAAGGAATCAATTTTAAAAGTTCATGCTGTAGAATCTCACTCGTATTTTTCCCAAAGGAAAACGTTTTACTCAACACGGTTTAAAAATAAATCAGTTCCGTCTTTGTTGATATCGAAATATTTTATGCCATTTTTTCAAGGTTCTGTAAATCTACTGAATCTCAATAAAAACAATTCGTCTCACTTCAGTAAAGCGGAATTTAGTCTGGCCTCAAGGGCATAAAAACCAAAGCTCACGACTTGATACATTTTTTAAATACAATCGTAAAATCGTCTTGATTTGAGAATTTTGATGCACACTTCATTTGAATGAAAAACGGCGAATATACACATCTTGAAGAAGGAATGTGGATGACGTATTTCACGGATGAGGAATAAATCGATGAGAATGATTTCACGGACTCATTAATGAAGCACGCTCAAAATGGGGGAAAAAAAACCATGTCGCTGTCATACGAAATTGAATTTGAAGAATTTATCTCGACGTCTGCGGACGTCAGCCTTTCCACAAAAAGCTCATAAATTCACCAAAAAATTTGTGAAACTTCGCACCTCCGTTTCACGCCAAACGTCGTCGTTCTCCAGAACTTCACTCAAATCACATAAAATTTGAACTTCATTTCACCAGAAGGGAATGAGAAAGAAAAAAAAAAGAATCATCACGAAAGCCACGTCCAACACAAGAGAGAAAGAGAAAAAAACAACTTCGCAATTTACGATTCCTCTATATATGTCCTCTCCTGGGCGCGTTGAAACGAGTCTGAAGAAAATATGTCAATCACATCATCCAGCACAGAAGCAATTGACGGCTTCACTTTTTTTTTTCTTCTTCTGCTTCTTTCTTACACATCACCCTCAAATCTTTAACAACCCAGGAGGCATGCAGGCAGGAAACTGGCACAACTGCTGGCCAGAGCTCCAAGAAACATAAACTGGTTATAACGTTATTTTTGGGGAAGGCGACAACGGAGCCCGAAAGGCCGCAGAGCGTGAAGCTCTCGGCCTGAAAAGCCAGGAGGCATTCAAGTATACTCAATTTTAGGGGACGGCCCCTGGGATTTATTATTTTTCTTTCCTTTTTTCTTGGCCTGAAAAGCCAGGAGGCATTCAAGTACACTGAGACCCCCCACATGCAGACACCTTGACCTGTGGACAATTTGACATAGGGACACTTATTTTTCCAGAAAAAATTCATAAAAAAGGCCCAACATGAGGACACTGACTTGACATAGGGACATTTTGTGATGAAATTGCTAATACATTTCAGACCAAATTACGAGAAACAGATATTCCCAACCCTAAAATTGATGTATGAAAAGTTCTTGGGCATTTCTCTCACCAATTTACCATTCATTTAGCTAATTTTAAAAAATTACCTCCAGCATACAGGGACTTCTACTTTTTTTTTTACTTGAATATTATTTTTGTAGATGTCAACGTTTCAATGCTCCAAATATTCTCATTGAGTTGAAAATGTATTCACTGATTCAAATTCAAGTGGCAAAAAATGTTCTTCAGGGAATTTTGAAGAATATTTCTTCCATTAAACACCAATTAAAATTATATAATGTAAGTCTATGGGAAAACAAGACTCAAGTTAGGGACAATTCAACTTAGGGACACTGTTGATGCACCAATCATGTCCACATCTTGGGGTCTCACTGCATACTTCATTCTGGGGGATGGCTCATCCTGGGATTTATTATTTTTCATTACTTTTTTCTTGGCCTGAAAAGCCAGGAGGCATTCAAGTATACTCCATTTTTCGGAACGGCTCCTGGGATTTACAGTATTATATTTCATCATTTTTTTAAAGATATACCTCATTCTCTTTCAATCCTTGTGTGGCAAAGTTGGGAAACATTTGCTAAATTTGGTCTCCAGCATATGAGCTTAGAAAATTGAAAAAATATGATTTTTCAATTAAGTCCTAAGTTGGGAAAAAGTTAAATATCTTTTTATAATCCTGCAGATAATGTTGCTCAAATTTTTTTTTTCACTGGGTGGCGTTTTTTCATGCATTCCCATAGCAGCAAAAGAATAATATCAGGGATTGTTTGAGACATTGAGATTTTCCATGCCCAGATGTTTCCTGACTTGGGCCTTCGCAACCTGCTGGGCAAATGTCAGTGACCCTTGGATCAAACTGAAATGCCCCTCCTCCCAAAAAAAAACTCAACTTTGCCAGAGGATGGCCAGGAACCCTCTGCCATCCAAGGGTTAAACAAGCCCTTGCAGGTATTTACCCTTCTGCAGCAAAAATATTGTTCTCAAGAGCACTGAAAAAAAATTGATAATATTCTCAACTTATAGGCCTTGCTTATCTGCAAATAACCATAAGCCCTAAGTTAGGGGATATTTTTTCTGCTGATCAAAGAAAAATTTGCTGAAAAATAAAATCTGGCTGTGGCATTTGCTCCTCCCAGAATTTCTCTGACCTCTGCCTTCTCAAGATCAGTAACCTTTGATCAAATCAAAAGGTGCGTGTTCGAAAAAATCCCAACTTTTCCATGGAATGGAAAGAAGCCGGCTAATTTTTAAAATCCATAAATTGATTTTTATTCAAGGGCTAAAAATCTTACTGATCAGCCCAGCTTCAGTCTGCGTAAAGTACATTTTTTTTAGCATACAATAATTGCTTGCTAAGAGATTTAATGAAGTCTTAACTGTATTTGTGGAATTTTCTGTTTTTTATCATTGGATTAAAATCTAATAATACTGTATTTAAAGCATTATAACGTATAGTTCTCATAAAATTGTCCAATTAAGCACTATGAAGCCTGATGATTGCTGGATCAATTTCGAGATTTCTTCGTATTAAATACGATTATTTTGCATTTCTTAGAATTCCGAGTATACGTTAGCATAATAAGTCTGCATGGTACTGATGAATCAGATCTGAAGGAAATTTTGTTGCCCCAGTCAACAGACCGTGTTGTACTTTTGACAAACACGTATGATGAGGCTGATGACATTAGACCAAGATGCCCTGGATTGATGAGTTTCATCAGGGAACTGCTGCTTGCCCTGGAAAAACATACCTTGTGTATTCATATTCAAAAACCAGGAATGAAACCACATTCTTTGAGCATTTTCTTCGTATATCCCCCATTAATATTTCTTTTACGATTGAACAACTGAGAAGGTTCAAAGATCGAGTTTGCTTTGCCTGATGGACACTGAATTGCTGGAGAAATTTTCGGTTTCGATTGAAGCAGATACATTTTCAGTAACACAACTTTTACGTATGTATGCAAATATATTTTGAGACGTCTTTCCTGCTGGCATGACGAAATTTCGGGCATAGATGCATGCATTTCGAAAATTTCAATCATGATATTTATGACACTCACAAGATGGTTTCGCATATGCTTCGTCTAAAAATGTTTCCTATTCCTTGAATTTTGATGGATAATTATGTCCTAATTGGTACTGACTGATACATTGGTCCTCAGAGTACTCACATAAAGACTGTATTTTTAAAATAAATATTTCTTTATTTGTCCAAATGAAATTTAATGAAATAACTAGGTTTTAATGAATATTATCTCTCATCTGAAGGCTCGCATTGAAAGAATTAACACTTATTAAAAAATATTAACCTGTGCTTTTGATTAGTTTAATATTGCGGAAATATTTTTTTTTTCGAGTAACAAAGTGATGGTCTGTATACTGGCATGAACAAAGATATCCGAATCCAAAGCAATATTCCATTACCTTCAAGCTCAAGTTGGCCATGAAATATTTCTTCTTTGTGCCGATGAAAAGTGTAAAAAGGATCAGTAGTTGTTGCTATAATGGAACAGGTAAAACCGGAACCAACCGGTTGATTAACATGAGGTGAGGTTGAATTTTGATTGATTTAGGACAGGTGGTTGAAAAGTCAATGCGCATTTATTTATTGGTTCACTTGATGGATTTTTCGCGCAGATGGGCGCAGGTGAGCGCATTTTTGCAGAGTGATTTCTAAATAATTTCCTGATCGAATTCCAATTTGTTGCTCTCCAAGGTCAACATGGAGAAAATCAAGCTATTAAAGTGAATATCCAGTCATCGAGGAAGAAAAATTTACCTGACCCAGGTGCGTTATTCATTAAACTGTAGCTTGAAAATATTCAGTATTTTCG